AGAGAGTTGAAAGCAAAGACATGTTTACCCATCTGTTGTGGGCGGGACTTTGTTGCTATGTGTTCCTAGGGAGCGCATATCAATCAATCAATCCATGACGTGCACTGTGACAAATACATCATTACCATGAATTGAAGGCATTATAGCGTATTTCCTTCAAATGAACAATCAGATATGTATCAATCCACAGCTGACAACTTTTTTTTTTTTTTTTTTTTGGAGCTGGACTTGGAATATTTTTTTTCTCAGCAGTTTTGGGACATAATGTCACTTTTTAGAAAGAAATACACTTCTGGTTTGTGAGCTAGTGTTAAAGTGATAACATATTGTTTTCAGTGGGGTTTGGTGGTTGGTTTTCTCTGAACCCTAAAAAAAAAAAAAACGTTGTCACGCCCCTGGTCGCCACTTGTGTTCCACGCTCCGTCTCTCACAGTGGACACACCGACACGTCGATACGCTTCCTCTCGTTTCCTCTCTCGCATTAAATCCGTATTGACATCAGTCGCTGTGGGGGAGTTTGTTACGTGGATTGATCACCTGAAGCGCTTGTAAGCAAACGAAGTGGGTCTTTTTTTGTGGGGGGGGGCGACGGCGGAGCTTACAGACCGGCTGCAGGACGAATCACATGTGCGACTGTAAGTGAGCCGCATTCACCGGCGGCGTTTCGGTTTGTTGACTTCTTGCTTCCTTGAATATCTGTTGCGCGTCGCAGGTTGAGGGAGAGAAGAGAGAGATAGAGAGAGAGAGATTCACTGCTGACTGCGAGGATGTGATGTGAGCACTTCAGAGGTGAGCAAAAGCTACCTCCTCGTTCATGTTTTTTTTACATTATGACTGAAATGAACTCAGTCAAATATTGGTAGGTGTTGCTCGGTTTCTTAATTTTAGTGTTGCTTAAATACAGATGTTGATCTGCATGTTCCAAGTGAAACGATGGAGGTGTGATTGATAATCAAATTGTTTACTCTCTGCATTGTAGGGTAATTAATGTGAGCTCAGGGGGGAGTCAATATCGGGCAGTGACTAACCACTGGATCAGGAGCAGAAAGCACTACAGCCTGGAATAAAAGAAGAGCTTAGGTACTTCCTGTCCACAAATCACATTATGTAGCCTATCAACAACTTTTTGTCTTATTTGTGACTGTTGTTCTCTGCCATCAAATGAAGCATCTTCTCTGTTAGTCCAGATGGATGGATGATGAGTGGATACATGTATTGTAAAGGCTGCTGGGGGGGGGAAATCACAGAAGCCTCATAAATAAAATGTAAATTTTTATGCAAACTGTGGTTTTCAGAACTGTTGAAAAAATGCATTCATGTCATTCGTTTAAAAAAAAAAAAAAAATGAAAATAGCGATTAAATTGTCGATACATGATCTGATCACATAAATAGCGGCGGCTGTGGCTCAGGTCGGGGGTTCAATCCCCAGCTGAGCAACATGTCCGATGTGTCCTTGGGCAAGACACTTAACCCTGCATTGCTCCCGCTGCTTCAGTGGCGGTGTATGAATGGATTAGTGTTGTGCGTACTCTCTTGATGTACCTCGCTTTGGCTTAAAGCGTCTGCTAAATGAATTGTAACATGGTAACATAATCGATGAACTGATGAATACTTTTAGTTCAGAGGTAACTAGTTTTATTTATTGAAGGAAATGTAATGCTGACTGAGCAGTATCAGTGAAACTTCAGTTGTTGTCATCCTCAGCCTTTAATCATTGTAGACCGGTTTACTTGAACATTGCTGAGGGAATTTTTGCAGACCAGCAAAATACATAAACTCACTACCTGCTGATACATGCTGATGATGTCTACAAGGTCAAGGACATATTAACAAGTATGTCAAACAAGTTGTTGTTGAATGCAGCACAAAGTGTTAATCTGACCTGCTTCATGAGGTGAAATAACACGCTGTAATGGGCCGTGCAGCTCGAAAGAATGCAACATAACGACCTGAAATGATCTCCAGTTTCACTTCTGTAATGACTCCTTAGTTGAAACCACTTTTGAACCCAAAGAGTTTGTCCTCTCTGTGTTTGTACAGGGAGCAAACTTTGTGGACATGTAGTGTTTTGCCCTGTTGAAGCATTCTCGGGGCAAACACTGGCATCTGCTGCCCGCTAATGAGATCTCATTAAGACTGACTGGAAGCATCCATCTCACTGTCAAAGTTTGGCTCCAAATATACCGGAGCTGTCCAGGGACCCAGGCGCTTAGGTTAAAATTGATGGCTTGCTTTCTTGGATTTATCATAAAACTGAGTTGATAATAATTATAATTTCAGATGCGTGTGGCTGAGACCTCACTGTGACCTGAAGGTGTAATTATCACATCTAATTTTAATTATAAAGTTACTTATAAGCTATTTAATTGGCGGGAAAAAGTACTCTTATTATTAAAAAAAAAGGTTGTCGTACTTTAGCAACAGTCTCTCAGACCAAAACATACTCCCTCTACCCTCCGCCTCCCCTCCTCCCCCGCCCCTCCATTAGTGAGCTCTGACACTGCCTGGAGCTCCATCGGTTTCTTATTTCTTTGAAGTATGTATGGATGTATGTCCAGGGGAAGTTTGACCTCACTCTTTTATTCAGAAAGAAACATAACTCAATGATACCTTTTAGTTAGCATATCGGATATCTGCTGTATTAATGTTCAAAATGTTGCACATTGTGCCTTTTTAAGATGAGATTTTTTTGTCCACGTCTCTACTGCTTCAATACATCGAAGCTGACACACTCGACTGCATGTACCTGCAGCCTAATGATCAGCACTCAGTCGTCTGCTGAGCATAGCATCATCCCTCCAATCATTCTGTCTTTATTTCAAACCTGAGTATACTGATCCAGGATGAACAAATCACTTCTCAAACTGACTGCTTGAAAATAAACAGGGTTGTTTTAACCTGATATCAGAATGTAAGCTTGAGGTAGATCAGCAAGATTTGAAAAACAGGTCCTTACTCTCTTACCACTCAAATGGTACACAACCTAAAACCACACTTATTTCTCTATTATGTATTGTTATTCTGGACGCCACTGCTCACCATATAAGGAGATTAATCATAATTTGATGCACTACAGTCAAGTGCTTCAGGTTTGTGAAACTGATAATGATGACATCAGAGATTGTAGTGAAACGAGCGCTGAACTAATGATTCCTTTTGGTGCGTCTTTCTGCTTCATTTGGACTTCATAATGGTTACCACCATCCCCGAGCGTGTCCGTCATGTTGTGTTGAAGTAGTCTATAAATATTTTTTCCGTATGCAACACGCAGACCTCACCCTGTGCCACGATCAATGGAGGAGCATCCCTGGTGGTCAAACTCATGAATAATTCAGTGTTTGTGTGACACACCATTTGTCTCCTAATGGCTCATCTCATCCCATAATACACCAGGTGCATTCTGTGAAATGCAAAAAAAAAAAAAAAAAAACAACAACAGATTAATTGTTTGATTTTGATGCAGCCGAAGTGGAGTGGAGGAAATTATCCAGTTGTCATAGTGATTGCTGTGATGAGCTTGGTTATGTGAAACAGGTCCGGACCCCTTGGCTCCAATCTGTTCGGTGTCACGAGAGAGCTGAGAGCGAGCGGCAATTATCCGTCAGGATGGCTGAGCCTGTGTTTAATGGAAGATATTTTAATCAGACCACGTACTATACTCAGTTATTTTTATTTGGTGTGGGTCCATGAAATGCCATGTTTTCAGAAACACCTGTTTGTTAGATTCAATTCAGTGAATCTGCCGTCCAACAAGGTTGGGACAAAATATCAATTTGTTGTGACTCTGACCCGTGAGATACCATTATCCTGTGGCTGGTGCCAGATATCTATATCTTAAGATATATTTTATTATATATTTCTTAGGGTTAGGATTAGGGTTAGAAATATAATACTTTCAGGCCATTTTTGCCTCTATAGAATAAGACAGGGGATGACATGCAACAAAGAGATGAAGTTGGATTCAAACTCAGAGCTCTTACAATCAGGACTAGAGCCTCCACACATGGGGCGCCATGACAACTTGCAGTGAATAAATAAATTAATGCTGCACTTAACCTTTTATATTCTTCATCAGATATCATCATGTATCATTATATGATTGTCCTGCAATGTATAAATGATCACATAATCATTGTATTAGGAAATTATTTTTATCCTGGGCCAAACATCAAGTGTTGTATTCTATCAAATCATCTTGTATCGCTTCGTATAGTATCATGGGTTACCCTGGGATTCCCGGCCTTATTATCCAAGGACACGTGTGTTGTGTTGGTACAAGGAGGTCTGACACTGCCTGGAGCTTTACCCTAGAGTCCTTTTCCTTTTGGATATGTCTTTGTCACTGCTTTTTTTTAATTTCCTCTCAATGTTTGACTTTCACTGTGAACAATATTTCATGTAAAAAGATTGACATTGGAAAGATGTTCCCATTCAGGTGCTGCAGGGAAAAAGGTTTCTTTCTGTTCAACCTGCAGGGTTTGATGATTTTGTGACAACACAACTTGTTTTTCAGCCAATCAGAGTCCAGTATGCAACTTGTACACGTGAGACGTGGTAACTCAAAACCTCTAAGGTGCAAACACTGAGACTGTTCTTTTCATCGGAGCAGGAGACATCTCGTGTCTTTTGAAATGAATAATATTTGAATAGCTGAAGATGTTTTCATTTTTCAATATGGCACAAAGACTAGGTGACTTTTAGAAATGTATTACAAGGTGATGGAAACTTTCGTGTGAAAAAGATGTATCAGACCCCAAAAATAATCCTGTCTGGAGGGGATGTTTAACTTTTAGAATGTTTTCAAAGTTGTTCAGTCCTCTTCATCTCAAACATGTTGGATAAAAAAAAACAGATTATCCAGGCTGATTAAATCTTTTGTCTTTGTGTAGCAGACTGTCGTTCTTTATGAATCCAAAATGAAAGTTTGCCACCAGCGAAATGTTACTTTTTCCACATTATTCAATCATCAACTCTGTTTATGTGTCTTTTGTTTGTCCAGGGGGAGACAGAGAGCGGATGACAGCCAACCATGAGACCTACCTTCTTATGGCCAGCACCCAGAATGACATGGAGGATTGGGTGAAGACGATCCGCAGGGTCATCTGGGCTCCTTTTGGTGGAGGTCAGTAGACACACACAGCCCCTGGTTTTATTTGTCAACCGTTGTGAAGAAGACTGATATGAACAGTTTGGTTTCTAAAAGAGAAAGACTGTTAAACTTAAGAAAAGGGATGTGTACCATCTCAACAGCACTTCAGCTCAGTCTGTTTTGGGCAGAACTTGACGTCATCTGATTGTTGACTGTGTCCTGATCCAGAAAACTAAATGCATCCTTTAAATGCAGAGATATTGTTTAACTAAAGACTGAACGGACAAACATTGTGCACAATGATAAAAGTTAACTTAAATCAATTTTTAGTTGCATTATCAAGACAAGATTTTTGCAGTACATAACATTTATAGCCATGATTCCCCCTGTGTGCATTTATCACCTTTTTGTAAAGTGTTTGTGTATTCATACACTGATGAATTTACCAGGAGCTGAGAACATGGTTTAATACCTCTGAAGGTCTTGCTGAGGTCAGACTGCACATTAACCTCAGAGACCCACTTCTACATTCTGGTATAAATATCTCTGATTGATTAATGGGATTCACAAAAAAAAAAAGAAAACGAAATAAAATAGCTCAGTGGTTTCAAAGTGTAACATGATATCACTGTAAGCACACGGCTTATCCCAAACCACAATGCTTCTACTCAGACTATATCTCACTGGACAGTTCGATGATGAATCCAAAACAAAAACTGATATACAATCCAGTAAAGTAACAATTCACTCTTTTCAACATTACATTTCTGCACAATATAAGTGACAACTCCTAAAACATCTTCTAAGTTCTCCTGTTTGTACTTTCTTTCTCCTTGTTCAGACGGCCTTTTTTCCTTTCTCTCCTTATTCACAGTCTTATTGAGCCATCAGTCGTTCGCTGTATGAGGCGCTGTCATGCCACGCCTTGGTTGCATAACTAAAGAACTTGACTTAGCATGACAAAATGTAAAAACAGCTTCTTCCATACATTAGGAATAGGAAGGAAATAGGAAACAAGTAAATAACCTTGTCAAATAAAGCCAACAAAAAGCCAACGTAGAAACCATCAGTTATATTGTGAATGATAGCTGAAGTGCAAGATGTTGTGGTATTTTAGTAAAACAGTACAACACTTTGTGGGCTTCTGCATGATACCATACCATATTAAACCATACACTTTATTGTCCCCTTTGAGGACATGAGTCTTGGGACTCCAGTGCCGTACACATTCATCTGCCTCCACAGTCATGGTGAGATCATAGTGCTGATGACTGAGTCTCCTGCTGGCTTGTTATTGACTTTGCTGGCAGACAGTGGCCTACATTCTGCGTTAGCAGGGCAACAAGTGGGGCGTTTGAAACCGGACGGGCCGTTCAGGCGGCGCTCGGTGTCACAGAGAATGGATGAGGCTGAGCTGGCCCCTCTGTTTTCAGAGCAGGGAGTTTGATGTCTATTGCAGCTGACTGCTCTTCAAAAGGACGAGCCATTTGTCAAAGATGCCACAAGAAAGGTGGCTCCGTGTTGGAGCCAAGCCGGGCTTTCTCTGCCCTTCAAACAAACACACATATACAGCGTGCACACACACACACACACACACACACATATTCCAGGCTTTTACAATTTGCAGTAGCAGCAAAGACCAACTGAGCCCTGATTGGCTCTCAAGTTTGGTGAACAGTCCTGTGCAGAGAGTGACGGACGGACAGAGAGCTGGAAAAAACACATTCCCAGGTTTGACCCACAGAAGGACTCTGAGCTGCCGATGGTTGCTGTGATGTTGTGCTGAACACTCGCTATGTTGATGAATGGGATTACTGGGCAGCGTGAACAAACAGTTGGACAGGAGAGCGCTCAAAGTCAGACCTTTTGAGAAATGTGCAGCTGTGGCTTCTCCATCTGGATCTTTGGAGATTTATTTCATGGTAATAACCAACAAGTTTGTTTGTTGTTTTGGAAAGAGTTTGCATTTTCATTAGGAACTGCAGAACAGTTTTTAGTTTTTTCCGTTTATGTAAAAAAAATCAAGTTTTTAACTTAATTTTAAAAAACTTCAGTGACACAAAGTTTCTTTCTTTATGCACAGACATGTTCTCTGAAGTGTATACGGGAGATTTTGATACACTGTGAGTTGTGTTGTTGTTGTTGTGCAGTGACATTAAGACAGTAATTTCCACAGCCCACCAGAGACACATCTTCCTGTGGTAAAAGTCTTTTTTTTTTCAGTCAACATTGTAAACGGGTCAGGAGGACTCAGTTTAGTGTAACACTCTTGTTAAAGGTACTTTGAAGTACAATGTTTCCCCGTCTTCTGGTTGTTTATCAGAGTTCTGCGTACAGGACAGAGAAGCTTAGAAACGATTTTCAGTCGGTCAGAGTTCAGTTGTTGTTTCAGGACCATCAGATCTCACAGTCACTACCTGCTTTTTGTATTTTATCTCTGAGCTCCAACAAGTTTGTACTGTTGAACCAGGATTTTCAACTTGTTTGAGAGGTTTTCTTTATTGCTAGAAAGTCAACCGATGTGGGATTGTTGAGACCCATACCGACTGTAAAGAGAAGATCGATCACCTACATGTTGGCTGATGACGTGAACTTAAAGCGTAGATAGACATTTCAGCAAGGATTGTGCTCGCATATGACAAAACAAAAGCACTCACAAGTGAGAAGTCCAAGACAAAGAGCCTTATGAAAGAATATCTAACATTTATTAAACATTATCAACCGTTTCTGCTTCATGGGCTGTGGACAGTGCTGAAAGAAGGGCTAAACATATTGGAAAGAACGGACATTGCGTTATTTTTCCATATTGTGATTTAAAAGAAAATGACATTATTGCAGGAAGGGGGGGGGTGGAGACAGTTGTGTGTGTGTGTGTGTGTGTGTGTGTGTGTGTGTGTGTGTGTGTGTGTGTGTGTGTGTGTGTGTGTGTGTGTGTGTGTGTGTGTGTGTGTGTGTGTGTGTGTGTGTGTGTGTGTGTGTGTGTGTGTGTAGGTCTCTGTATCTTCCAGAAGCTGAGAGTGTTCATTGAACCGTCTGAGTCACAGTAGAAGTTTCTCTCTTATTTAGTCTGAAGTCTTTGTGTTGTGGTACCAGTCAGTCCAGTACAAAAAGGAAACGTATATATCCAGTACACACACACACACACTCACACATATGCCTCATAAGCTGGTCCACGCACATACTCGCATGTGACCTGGGAAAACATTCCTAGACTCATGACCAGAACGTCTGGAGGGATGACCTGGTTTTCACTCCTCTGATGCGCTCTATGAGTCGTGAGGATATATTCATCATTCTTCAGTCTGCTGGAGCTCGGCTTAAATCTGTTTCTTCTGATTTGCTTAAGATTTGGAAAAAAGTGGATACACAGCTTTAATCTTTCTGGCGACTTTGTGAGTTTTAACTGATTTGTCTTATGTGGGTTGCTGGAAGGATAGAAGTGAACAGAATCTCTGTGTTGGCTGCCCCGGAGGAGAGAGAGAGAGAGAGAAGAAAGAACACAAGACTCTGCTGTGAACTTCTTAGTGAAGAGCCTCTTTTTCCAATCAAATAGGACGGGAACAAAGCACTTTGTGAGGGATGAAAATAAAGACAGTCTGACTGACCTTCTGTCAAGCTGATGCATCTCCTTGATTTCAGCTTTGTTTGTTTGCCTTCTGTCATCACAGCCAAAACAAAGGCGGCTTTTTGGAAAATGCTAAAACGCAAGCACTTAAAACTCTGCACAAGTGGTGTGTTATCATATCACAAATTCATTAAGAGGCTTTTTGTCCGGAAGCTCACGAGTTGCATCAGTTTCAAGAGCGGTGAGTATGACGAGTTTTACTTTACTGGTGAAAAAAAACAACAACCATACATCACTGCATGAGCTGCGTACGTTAATGAATGCTCTGAATGAATGTAGGACATTAATACAAATCTCACTGCTGTGTCGTCCGCTGTCAAAAAAGAATGAAGATTCCCCCTTAAGCTCACTTAAGTTCAGTCACCTTGTCGTACCACGTGTACGCTCGCTGTAAGTAGCCTCTGTGTGATTCTGAAGACCGGAAAACTATGCAGAGCCAAATCTCCCGGGAAGGCTTTCTTAATCCCCTCTCGTTGCATCCGCATGAAACGGCTGGAAATGGAAATGAGTATTTCACCACCGCCTCAGACAAAAGGCGAGAGGTGCTCAACGGGGAGTCTCAGATTTGATCATCAGACTTAAGATTTGTGGGTGTACTTCTTTTTTGTTTTGTTTTTTTGCTTGGATTGTCTCGCCAACCTTTTTACTTTTACCAATTGATTTAACGGATCTCTTTGATGTGCCTTAAGCTGCGGATGCAAGCCTGAGGTTTTATTTTCTTCTCTAAATCTTTGGTTAATACTTTTTCACTTCAAGGGAGAAAGTTCAGTCGTGCAGGATATTAAACTGAGTTAATATTACAAATGATAAACCATATTCTTTGTCATGTCAGAGTCATGCCCTTAATAATGCAGCTTCTAAATCATATTTCTCTGTTCTAAAAACATGAATCATTGATAGAGATATTGCTCTAAGCTGCTTTGGTTTATTAAAGCCCTTTTCCCTTCATGTGATTGATGCACAATACATGACTGTACTTTAAATTGTTGCCATAAAAACTTATCACAATGAAAAAACATGTAAACATTTAAATCAGAATCACACACTGCGATTTATTTAGCAATCATCGTCATTCCAAACGTGTCTCTCTTTTCAGGGATCTTTGGTCAGAAGTTGGAGGAAACCGTACGATATGAGCGTCGCTATGGGAACAAGCTGGCCCCTATGCTGGTGGAGCAGTGTGTTGATTTCATACGGCAGTGGGGCCTCAGGGAGGAGGGACTGTTCAGGCTGCCCGGACAGGCCAACCTGGTCAAAGAGCTGCAGGACGCCTTCGACTGCGGAGAGAAGCCCTCTTTTGACTGGTGAGGAAACACACGAGCTGCTTGGATTGTGTTAGTGCATTTCAATGGGAAGCTGATACGTGACTGTTGAGTGGTCAACTTCTGCTCGTCTGGAACCACAGGGGGAACAATGATGAAGTTTTTAGTGTTAGAAGAGTTCTGGTTTCTGCTGCTGGATCAAGTAGAGCTGATTTAACACATTTGATGTGACTTGGGTTTGTCTGCAGAGGAACTGTCCTCTCAGAGCAAAAGATTCACAACACGACTGATTTGTCATCTCTGAGTTTGTCTCTGAATTAACTCTGAGAAACAGTTTGTAAAGACTACTTTACCAATAACGTAGAATCCAACTGGCTTTGCAATTACACTGAAATATATAGATTTAGTCACATTGTACAACCCTTTAAGAATGTCTAAGCTTCCAATACCTTGATACTTTTTACCACCAATGCGTTTAAAAAATGATACAATCACTGTTGTTTAAATGATCAATAGCATAAGTACCAAAGCTTTAAAGAACTACAGATCTTCACTCATATTTGTAACTTAAAGTAACTTTCAAGTGAGAGAGCACCGTCTAAATTAAGCAACGCTTTGAATTTGTCCTCTGGAGACGGTGTGCAGGAGTTTGCCTGCAATTTTTGACTTACATTTTTGTTGCTATGGTATCGAAACAGGTATCTATCGTTTGATTCTAACTAGTATCATATCTAAGTTTTAAAATTCTGGTCTTGTGACAAGAAGCCTTCTATCATTTTAAAGTTTTCTTGAATTGTGAAATGGAAGCGAGAAATTCAAATGCTAAACATCCACACTTTTAATTATATTTATCGACTGACTCAAACTCTCAACAGGCTGGATAAATTGGATTTGCAATGTGCTTCATGCTGTGTGGTGTGTAGGTGGCTGTACTGAGAGACTGGGAGCTGTTATTTAATATGACAGCCTTCATCCATAATTCAGGGTGACAGACTAATGCCTGTGTTCCACCTCCACATCTCTTCTTCTCTTCTGCTTGTCCTCCCTCCTTCACTCCACCCTTCGTCTCTCATCCACCTTCTCTGAAGACCAGAAATAAAACCTGGACAGGACGGTCAGATCTAGACCATGCATCAACTTCTTACCATGTCTAAGAAACACAGGAATCAAAATCAAACTCAGAAGGAACATCAGTATGTCATTCCTCAAAGTGAAACATCTCCACCCTCTGATTTCTGATTTGACACTGAACTTAAGCCCTCCTCTGTCTCTGCCCACATTCCAGTTTCTTGTTCGTAACTTTCCCTCACCGTGCAGATTCCCCCGTTAGCTGCCAATCTCACAAGCTGTCAGAACTGAGAGTGAGAGAGTGGGGAACGACAGGTCAGATTCAAACCTCCTTGATCCGCTCTCAAGGACTTGGGCCATGTACATGGGGCGTGCAGTGCACACTGACCGCTAGGCCAGGGTGCGCTAGAAGTTCTGCTTGTCTCTTTTGGTAGAATTATAAAAAGCTGGGGTAGTGGTTTTACACAAGCAGGTGTTAAAAAATGAAACCATGCGGTCGTGCAAAAAACGGTTGTTCCTCGAGTGTCCACTTGAAGCGAGCTCTAAAACCAGAGGGTGCCACTTTAGATGTCATATTAAAATGTCTATTTGTACAGTAGAAATAAACCTGTTTACAGCCCGCTTCAAAAACTGAATCTGGTTGGAATAGCTTATACATTTATAACTCACCTGTTAATTATATAAAGGTAAGAGTTATGCATACATTTGCATATTAGGGGGCGGTCGAGTTACTGTCAGGTTGATGCATTGTAGCGATTTGCCTGAAATTTATCTCTGCTGTTTCTAGATTGATCTAAAGTTAGGTTGAGATAGTATTTGATGTCATTGAGACTACATCCATGTTTTATACACTCTGTGTTTTTAACCTTTTTCCAGGCATTCCAAGCTAAGCCAGATGACCACATACGAATGCTGTACCGTCAAAATGACTCATAATAAAAGTGGTATCCAATTTGACCTATTTATGAAAATGTGAATTACTGGATTCCCCAAAACGTCTAACTATTCCTTTAAATTCTGAATGTAATCTGTGGTGTTTTAAAAGTTGAAGGGCTCTGTGTTTTCTCTCTCTTGTGGTATTTCTCTTACGACTAGTCGACCTTGCTGCAGCAGTATTCATGATTGGTGTTTGCTTGAACACTGTGTATGACTCACCCTCTGTGTGTCTCGTCTTCCTCCACAGTAACACAGATGTGCACACAGTAGCCTCTCTCCTGAAGCTGTACCTGAGAGAGCTGCCGGAGCCCGTCATCCCCTTTCATAAGTACGGCGACTTCCTGGCCTCCGCCAAACTTCTGAGCAAGGATGATGAAATGGTGAGAAAGGCCACTCGATTACTTCCTTTGTAGCTGTATCCTGCATGAACATGGCTTTTCAAACACATAAAGTTTTCAGAGTTCAAATCCTGAGAGAAGTCAGAACTGAAAATCTGTCACATAAATCATCCGGAGTCCTGCTCTGAGACGTTACAGCTGCTCAGTCGTCCATACTCTGCTGTTTCTCTTACAATGCTTTTGTGTTAGGACTGAACTTTTCTCATACAAACATGACTTCTTTCAGAATAAAAGTTATGATTCATGGCAATGTTTTCATGTTTAGGCTCACCACAATGTCAGAAAAGATGTATTTACGGGACATCATGTATGTGCTTTTGTCTGTGCATGTGCACTTGTGTGTTCTTGTTTTAGATCCAGTAATATGTTTTTACATCTCAAATGATATTAGAGATTTACTTCCCTTAGAACCTTTTGGACACAACGGGCAGAATTTACAATATTTCTTAAAAAAATGTTTCTTCAGTGGACTGCTACAGACGTTTGATTTCCTATCAGATCACAACGATTCACCAGACGGTTTAGAAATATAGAAATGATCTTGTGCGTTGTATTATTATTTTGTATCCGACACGTTATTTCCAATTGTTTTCTATTGTGTAAAATAGAAGTAGAATTTCTCATAGAAGTTGTTGGAAACCTGTCCTAAGGGAAACTACATTGATATATAAAACGCATACCTTATGCACATCTTAGATAGTAGATTCATTTGTACTCATTGTTTTTAAATGAGAAATCTTCATCTTTTGTAATCTCCAATAAAACATATGAATAGTTTCCACAAGAGATCTTTAAATCAGCCTGATTAATCCCTGCGAGAAAACATGTTAATGATCATTTTGCCCTCAGTATGCACTAAGCTCTTTTTCCATTTGTTTCCCTGTTGTGTTTTTTTCCCCACTGGCTGTCTGTAGTCAGCACAACTTTTAATGTGAGAAGATATGACTTACTCTTCCTGATCTAGCTCACATTGCCTCATGATCCGCAGGGTATGAAGGAGTTGAGAAGGCTTGTTGAATGTCTACCTCCAGTGAACTACAATCTGCTCAAGTACATCTGCAGGTACAAACTGATCATTTAAGTTCTGCTGAATCATGAACTTTTAAAGAATAGTGAACAGCTGATTTTTTTTTTTTTTTTTTTTTTGATTTTTTTTACTGTTTTGCAGATTCCTAGATGAAGTCCAGTCGTATTCAGGAGTGAACAAAATGAGCGTCCAAAACTTGGCCACAGTGTTCGGACCGAATATTCTGAGGCCGAAGGTTGAGGATCCAGTAACGATAATGGAAGGTCTTGAAACTCATGTGATTTCTTGCATATTTTTTTTTTTAAGTTTGGCTAAGTTCAAAGCTCGTTTTTTTGACTTTCTGAGATAATGACATGTGATTTTACGTTGTCAGGTACTGTTCTGGTCCAGCAGCTCATGGCCGTTCTGATTGGCCGACATGACGTTCTGTTTCCCCTCAATGAGGACAGCCCCACGGCTCTAGAGCTCGTCAACAACAACAACATCGACGCACAAAAACGACAAACCAACACGACTACCTCCGCCATCACTGCGGTGTCTCAGAACGCAGAGAACAACAACACCCACGCGGTCAGGAAGTGTGTTTGGGAAGCTCCCGAGTCTCCCTCCCATCGCCAGCACGTGGACAACAGTGGCTCCCCGCGGTCAGCGAGCCCTCGTAACGGGGTCATAGGACGCTTTGATATGACGCGCAGCCCGCCGCTGACGGTTAAAAAGAACCCGGCGTTCAGCAAAGGAAGCGGGATTGTTACAAACGGCTCCTTTAGCTCCTCCCCCTCCTCAGACCTGAATCAAGAGAAGAGTCAGACTTTAACAGGAAGTGGGAGTTTACCGGCGCGGCGCAGCGGGGCACTCAAAGGCTCCGGAACAAAAATGGGAACCAGTGGCGTGACGAGTGGAAGCAGCAGCGTGGGGAATGGCACCGGAGTTGTCCGATTGGGCGTCTCCGGCACAGAAACCCAAAGCCGCAATGGCCTTTGGGTACCGAACGGCTGCGTCACGTTGCGGGATAGCAGCAAAACGCACGTGGATCAAACGTCCAATCAGAACAGACTCTCTACGTACGACAATGTCCAGTTAAACCATCACAACCAGCAGCAGCATAACCACGTCGCCAACACGTGTCTGAACAACAGCTGTGAGGACAAACAGAGCGTGGACAGCGCCACCTGGTCCACATCCTCCTGTGAAATCTCTCTCCCCGACAACTCCACTTCCTGCCGCTCCTCCACCACCACCTGCCCCGAGCAGGACTTCTACGGGGGTCACTTTGAGGATCTGGACGGGCCGGCGCAGGATAGCGAGCATCCCCAGTCTGGAGGAGGAGGAGGAGGAGGAGGAGGAGGAGGAGGAGAGGGGGAGGGCAGGATGAGCAACAGAGAGGGCAGCGGAGACGGAGCAGGGCGGAGCAGTCGGAGCACCAGCAGCAGCGAGAACAGTGACGGTCCTACTGTGGGCAACGGAGCGGGCAGCCACAGCGCTCTGCACAGTTTAGTGGCCAGTCTGAAACAGGAGATGCACAAGCAGAAGGCCGAGTACGAGGCTCGGATAAAGAGGTAGGGTTCTAATCTGAGAAAAGTTGTGTTGTCTAGGAGGATGCCAAACATATCTGAGGGACTGCAGTAGTTTAGTCTGTAGGGACTTTGGAACAAACCAAAGTATTGGAATTGGTCTGGTTGCTGGAGAGGTGTTGGTTCACTTCCCTATGTGCCCTTTAGCTAACACCAGCAAAAAGCTCAGGGTGCCCCATGTATGGGCAGCCCCCCCTCACTTTGATATATCTCCATTAAAGCATGTCCACTGGTGTATTTGGGGCCTGTTTTTTGATGTGTGTCCCTCAATAACAGAGTGAGAACCCCAATTTCACCTCAGGGATAAGGGAAGTATATAACATAAATAAAAAAAATGAACACATTGAATGAAGTTGTAACGTCTAAATTAGATTCCCACCAATTGAGAACCACGGTCCTAAACAATTCAACAGCATTAGACACGATTTAAAAATCCAGTATTTATGCTCCACACAATCTTCATAAATTAAATTTAAGAACTATAAGCAGCAGTTTCCTTCTGATTTCAATATTACTCTCCTCTCCTCACCCTGTGTTTACCCTCCTCCGCAGCTTGGAGCAGCGTAACCTGGACCTGGAGACTGAAATGGTGAACCTCCACGAAGAGCTGGACCAGGAGAGGAAGAAATACACGATGGCCGAGATCAAGCTGCGCAACGCCGAGCGCGCCAAGGATGACGCCGAGAAGAGAAATCAGATGCTGCAGAAAGAGATGGAACAGTTTTTCTCCACGTTTAGTGACCTCACTGCAACTGGTAACACCACTGTGACCGACCCCCGCCGACCTGATCGGAACAACCCCATCTGGATACAGTGAGGGAAGAGCGAGGAGCTTTGACTGAAGACTGAAAACTGTTTAATTAAATGATGTGAAGAAGATGAGGGCTCCAAACAGGATTTGGCTGCTGGTTGTAGAGGGAGCGTTGAAGAAGGGAAGGTTAAAAGCATGTTTTAATTTAAGAATAGAAGGTGTAGGGGGCCAATGGGAGCCACCTGTATAAATGTAGACATCACCTGGAGTGATGCCACTCTGACATTATCTGTAAATACGGCATTATTTAAACAAAAAGTCACTCGGAGAGACTTTTTGACGTGTCCAGAAACTGTGTTAATCACTCCTCTGACTGGGGAAAGTACACCGTGGTTTACAGTGATACACAGAACTACTATTGTTGAACTGTTACTCCTGGAGCGAAAAAGAAGCGGGAAAAAAAGTTGGAAAGGATGTGATCAGCTAATAAAAATATCATGGTCGTAAAAAAGACTGAAAGAACAAAAACACTATCTTAATCTCCTTTTAAAATCCAACCAAAATCCTCCTATTGTTCCATGTTATTCGGTGTGTGCTCTTGTACATAGAGGGGAAAACAATGCAGAGAAATCACATGTTTGTAAAAAGGAATGAAAATAATACTTCAATGTGTGTCTGATATTTAAGCAAACGTATCAAAGTGTGATGTTTTCTATGACGACTCGTCCTTGCACTTACATGTTTCATGGAGTCTCAGCAAGGTGGTACTGAAATGTTCTGTGTCTCAATGTGTGTGCACCATTTCAAGTGGACAATATATTGTATATGTGCCTGTGCTTCTGTGCTGTTTCTTTTCCCCACCATGACCAAAAAAAAAAAAAAGAGAGCCTGTACTGTAAATATTTTATAGATAGTCGTTAGTTAGTTTGACACATAATCAGATGGATGTGGCTCGAGTTGAGTTGATACTGATTGAGGAATGTTTTTGCTCGTAAACATGAATTTAAAGACTTGCACAATGCGTCATTGGTTTGAATCCCAGAAAGGAAAAAAGAAAAAGAAACATATGTCATCAATTAATAAGATCAGGTAACTAATATGACTCTCCCTTTTAAGGAATGTGTGGCTCTTAGTCACTCTTAATTCTCTTGAAATGTTGGTTTGTGTCTGAGATTACAAGTGAACTAGTAGAGAAGACTCCAGTAAACAGATTAAAGTATGAGCTGATACCGAGGACTTCAGAATCAAGTGTGAAAACAAAATTGGGATGTAAGTTAGAAAACATTGAACCACACTGAAACAAGTTGACTGAGGGATTATTAAAATGTGTATTGTATCAGTGCTTTGACTGATAAATTCATCAATACCAATGTTTGCATTTAAGGCAATATCAGAGGCCGATACACTTTCTGGTGTCAGTGTTTTTATTGTTATGGTACTGTTACTGATACCGGTACTGGCATCACTATCGGTTAGTTTTTTGATACTTATACTGATATCAGAATCTGTATTATTATTGTTTTGGTACGGATACTTATACTGGTATCAGAGTTGGTAGTATCCTGATAGGCATCCTTATCTCTATATCAGTGTTGTTCTGATACTGGTATCAGTATTGGTTAGTAGCTACCTTATACTGATATCAATACTGGGATCAGTATTGGTAGTTACCTGATGGTGGTATCAGTGTTGTTCTGAAACTGATAGTTATTGGTATTAGTAATTTACTGATACTAATACAAACAGTGGTATCAGTATTGTTATTGTTTTCATTTCAGTATTGTTACTGGTGTTGGTCATTTTCTAATAGTGATACCGATAATGTTATGAGTATTGGTGATTTTCCTATTACTGATACCAGTTTTGGTACTCGTCTGATACTGGTACTGATACAAATAGCAGTATCATTATCAGAACAACTCTAGTTTTCAGCTCTACTGTAGTCTTCAATCTACCTGAAAAAACTAGTTTCAATCCTTATTCAGCTTTACATTTAGAGGTTCAAAGAGCGAGTTGTGTTTGTGGGTCATAACTGTAAAATAAAGGGGATGACTTCATCAAGTGTATCCACATGGACAGTGAGTGTCCACATGGAGGGCACAAACAGCCGGGTTTTTGGCTTCAGTAGCAAGATGTGAGTGCATGATGGAGCATGAGTCTTTGAGGGCCAGTGTACAATACGTGAATGTCTGTAAAGTGACTGCATATCAATAAAGAGTGTATTTATGTAGCTTCAAACCAAACATCTACACCATGTGGATTTTACTGATGGGTACAATACAGGACACGCGTGACTGCAGACCTAAGCCGGACTTCTGCAAAAAGAAGTTTGAAGTGTGCAGAAAGTTGCCACAGGCCAGTCGTTCCCCTCTGAACACCAGGTCTCGTTTGAACCTGCTGCTGGTCAATGCAGGACATGAGGAATGTGCACATGGAGGGGGAAAAAAAAAGTGCCTGAACAAGTGAGAGACGGAGGGCGAGGAGAGCTCCTCATTTTGCGCCCTTCACCGGGAAGTAATAGGCTTAATCCGAGCTGACAGCGGCACCTCGTTCTGTGAATTCCACACAAAAGAGCAGATTATGGACACAGGGCGAGAGGAAGTGGAGGACTGGGACGGGGAATATTTTCATGACATGATACTTGACACCCAAAAGAACTTTAAAAAAAAAAAAAAAAAAAAAGACTTAATATGAATAAAAAGGCATTTTCATGTGAGTCCCCCTTTGTAATGTTCTTCACTGCAACTTTTCTTCAACATATTAAGAGACAAAACTTGAACCAATTTGAATCTGTGTGAAATTTAAAGGTATATGACGGAATTTTTATGACATTTTTTAAGATTATTAAATAATGGTGTTGTTTATGTGATCAAAATGGTCATCCAAAAGAGTCCTTTACCAAAAAGTGTCATACAAACAACCAAAGTAGCAAATTCTGGCGATTGAGAGGCTTAAACTATTTAAACTTTTTGTCATTTTATGAATTTACATTTTTGAGTGAGTGCTGTGTGATAATTCTTTAATTGGCATGAAATTGATTTTTATTTAAACATCTTACACTGGTAAATAATCAGAATATGTCCCATATATATTATATTACAGTATATCATATAAGATGTTTTTTTTTTTTAAATGTTACAATAGATGTGGATGGTGATAAATTGATCTTGAACATAATTTTGAGTCTATATCAAAGTGTGTGTGAGTGTGTGTCTGTGGTTGTGTTTGTCTCTTTCAGTTCTGTTGAAAGTCGACCAGGATGTTCCCTTCCTCACGCTGAATTTCAGCTTTGATTGGCTCCAACGCCCACAGCGACACTTCAAGGATAGACGGTATGAATAAAGGATGGATGAATGGAAATATATTTCCTGAAAAAGTTTTTTGTCGCATTAAAAGTGTCTTTTTGTTCATATCCTAAAATAAGATGTCAACTTGTTCTACATCAGATCATTGGTGCAAGAAAAATAATGAATAAAACAAAAAAATGGACTAACAACCGTGCCTACAGTTACTCATATATAAATGTATTTACTTATTTTACCAAAACATTATCGTAGAAAATTCATATCTACATTCATAAAATGACCTTCTAGTAGGCAATGAGGGCGAGCAGCTGTGGCTCATTGGAAGAGTCGGTAGTCTCTCAGTCGAAAGGTTGGGGGGGGTTTGATCATGTTGAATATTCTTTGGGGAAAACTCTGAACTCAAAATTGTTCCCGTCACAGTGAATGTGAGTGAACTGCTTTGAATGGTCAGAAGAGAAACTGCTGGAAAAGTCCATTTACAGAGTCGAATAAACAGACAGCTTAAAAGAAAAAGATAATTACACAAGTAAATAAGGTATGATCTAATATTTAATGTGAAGATACATAAGAAAAAAACAAAGAAAAGTGATTGTTGATTAAAGATATTTCAGTTGTGAGGTACAGTTACCTCATATAGAAGAAGGTAAAGTGACCACATAGGTCGTGAAATCTGACACTAAACGAATGTTATCATCTCTTACTGCCCTCTCCTCCTCCTCCTCCTCTAGCATCAATGTAACATCTGCTTCTTTCTCTCTGCTCCACATTTCTTCTCTCTGTCTGTCTGACACTTTGTAATGGTTGCCAGCTTTGAGACAGAGAGTCCAGCAGACCTGAGAAGAGCCTGAAACCTGATTTAGAGTCGGTGTAGATGGGACTCAGTGTCACTGTGACGCTTTGGACGGATGGTTCCTACTGAGAAATTAAGACATATTGAATTGCACTTCACTGCAGGTAAAAGAAGAAATAAACATACAGCAGAGTCCAAGATCAAAGGTTTTGTTTATTTTCAATCACATACATATACTATTTTTACATACACAGTTCCTTTAAAATGTTGTGTTTACAGTAACAGCTTTCAGTAATTTTTTTCTTTTGCATTTGTTTTGACTTTATTTGAAACGCTTGAGCCTGAAGCTTTGAGATCAGCGTGAAACAGATACAATTTCCTTTTTTTTTTTTCTTTATTATTCAACCTGACAATGTCAAAAGAATGATTCATTAAAACAGCACAGAGTAAAAGAAAACAAGAGAGAAGGAATCGTAAAAGAACAACATCACCTGATTCAGATGAGCTTTACAGGGTTTCATCTTAGTAGTCCACATTGAAGACTCCAAACATTTTGAGCATCACCTGACCTTTGCAGTAGCTTGCCTCCCTGTCTGAGTGCAATAAAGTGTTTATTGCATTGTTGGATTGTTGTTATTTACAATATGAGACAACAGAAAAAGAGTGAGGGGGGGGGGGAGAAAACAAGCTGGGGATCACAAGTACTGGGTCCAATGATTTTCTGTTGGCACAGCTGAGTACAAGATGTATCCTAACTTCTGACATGTAGTTTAAAATTAGCAGGGAAAAAAAACATGGCTGAATGACAAGTCGGCCATTCCTAGATAAATGGCTAACAAACTGGCTAATCCTGGATTCAAGCGAGAACTTTTGAAGTCCTTTTAATTGTGAAAAAAAAAAAATAGATGCAGGATTGGTAGTTGACACATTTCTAATTCTATGTGACTGAACATGAATACACACATGAAATACACCCAAACACATGACTTTACCAACGCTCCATCAACATTCTTGAAATCAATCCAACATGATTTTATTTAAAACGTCATCAACCTTCACAAACCCGTCGCCGTTCATTGCTGGTTCATTTGAAATCACACACACACACACACACACACACACACACAAACTGATGACCAAGCAGAGCAGCAATGACGTGAGTGAAACAATTCATTTTCTACATTCAGTGCGGACAACCCAGCTGTTCATCTGCGTTAGAACCGGATCTGCTTTAGGCGCATCAAACGGGACCATAAGCACCTTGTTATAACAACAGAATTGTGTGGAGGGACGTCTTATAAAAAAGATCTACAATTCACATTCAGAGAAAAAAAAGAAAAAAAAGGAAAAGGAATATGATTCAGTGGTTGCTCTGTGCGAAAAAACGTGTAAAAGTTCAAATGAAGTAGTATGGATCGTTAAAAATGCCCTGTAGATTATCAGCAACAGTAGTATTTGTGATAAAATCTTCTGTACATCTTCGAAACATAAAAGTCATTTTTCAAAGTTGCACCCTGTTTTTTTTTTTTTGTAAAGATTGCCCTGGCCAGACCCTGAACAGAAAGCCAAGCTAGCTGTAGCTTATCCTGGAGACGCTGCCGTCAGGTACCCTTGTAGCTCGGTGAAGGTACTGTGAGTCTGTGTGTGGTTAACTGTACACAGGCCGCAGGCTAAGTAAGAGTGTTAACAAAGTAGCTATCTGCAGTTCTGTAAGAAAAACTGAGGGGAGGGATTGGGAGACCTCATATGTACAGTGAAGCGGAACATTTAGCCGGTTTAATGGGGGTGCTAAACCAGAGATCACAGAGAAATAGCTGGACGATCAAATGACATGCTAACAAACAAATATTTGAAATGTGCATTTAAACAGTGATCTTCAAACATCTCCTCGTGTTTTAACAATTCATGACTTAACATCTTAAGCAGGGGCCATGCAAAGTGCATGAGTATGAAAGATGGTGATGCTGTATTTATATTCATGAAATATAGCAGTAAAAATCAAGATAACTTGAATCTTTTTCTCATTCTTGTTTAACAAAAGGAGAATGTTGTTGAGATCAACAACTCAGGGTGTAGTTGAGGTTTCTAGCGGCACAGTTTTGTCGTAAGCATGAAAATAAAAATGTAGTAAAACCCTAAACTATGTAACTGTATGTTAGTGAAAAATGTTTCAAATTTGGACATGAGACATGAGACATGAGAAACATCTCTGATTTCTGCCACACATTCTGTGCATCTCCTTCTCTAAATCTAAAGAGAAAGAGTGCATCACTGCAGCTGGGCCTTTGTAAAGTTCAATGCAAACAATACATGTAAGCGTCTGAGCGTGTGCAAGTGTCCCGGCTAGAGAATATCTGGCAACACTATTAAATGAAGATTAAATCTAAGAAATAGTGAAATTAAATTCAGCCTAAATATGCAAATGGTAGAAAACCGTCCATGTAATGTCATGTTAAACCAGCACAAGCATAAGTAAGTCATTCAATCTCAGCAAAGCAATTCGATTCTTTCACTATTCCAAGCTAAAACCCAAAGTTAAAGCACCAACATCAGGCCAAACTGTGTTTTCATTATTGTTCAACCAAAAAATGTTGGATTGGGGATTCAGATCATTTTAAGGCAGAAAAAGAAGAAGCAGAGGAAAAAATATAATTTCTGCACCAACAATGCTTCGTTCCAAAAGGCACTTGCCATTTTCAGTTCCACCTATCAAAATAAATAAGTCAATAAATATCTTCTAGCTACGAAATAATGTGAGAAAGACTGTTTCTAGTTCAAACAGAAAAAGGGTGTTTGTTTCTGTTGTGTGTAGTGAAATAATATTATTTATGTTGGAACAAAATGTCACATTGCTACGAGGTTAACACTCATCGCCCGCCTGTAAACTACAAACTGTGTGTTTTGATACTCCTTCAATAATCTATGTTTCAGTCAAATAAATAATAATGTTATCTTAATGGTGAACCCAACTGTGAAACAGACCAGCCTCCTGTGCCTACGAGGGGTTCATGTTACACAGTTCACCGCGTTTACACAGCGGCCTTTCTCTGATGTCACTCTCAGAGCGGGAGGGTAAAATGTTGACAACCCCGTACTGCTTTGTTCCAGGTAGCATGTCAGGTAAACGCACATATCTGATGGCAACTTGAAAGGACGTGGATAATTATAGGTATATGAGCCATATATTTAAAGTATATATAACTAGAAAAACATTTTTGATAATCCACTAGGAAGCGATAACTTTAGCATTCAACTACTTGCTCGGTCGGTCAATAAGACCGTATACGCAGAATGGCATCAACTCTTAGCTACAATAGATTTCATAATCGTCCCTGGAAATTATTCCACATTTCAAGCTGAAACAAAACACACCTATGATGTACCCTATAGCTAACTTTGTTATCAGCTAAGCTTAGCTGTAGGGTAACTGCTAATCTCTTAATGATATTATATTTCGATGGTTTAAAATATTGATTAAGGCAAAAACGCCAGGCTAAGATTAGCCTAGATTGTATCATTGTTTTGAAACGGACCAAATTTCAAGTTATAACAACGAAATATATGATAAATGATAAGCTCTGGTATATTACAGCTAAGTATAGTATTTAGCCACTTCCTAGCAAACATAGTAATAACATTGTAGCTAACGATAGATTGCCTCATTGTTTCATTTTAAGCTAATTTAAATTTTGACCTATTAGCTACTGTACCACAGACGTATTTAGCATTAGCCCAGGTTAACATTATTGTTTGACAGTGTGACAGCAACATTATTAGAAGTCTAAATTCCTGTCCTACAGTAATTTTAGCTAGGAGATTGGTTGTACGTGAATGTGATCTGGTATCAGATGCTAGGTTGTGTTTTAGCTTGACATGTCCAGATATACACTGATTTAAACTTTCCCCATCTTATTTTATTCTTCATCAATGGAAAGTGGTGGAAAAAAAATCATTTGTTAGAGTTTAAGCAGTTATTTGACTTGTAACCTGGATCGCAGCGTTACGTTATTACAGCATTAAAGCCCCCCCCACCGACCGTGAGCGCCACATCAGAACAAAATGGCTGCTGTGTGAATTTGGTGGATAACATGCAGGGCTGTGGACCAGCCTGTGTGCTGGTGCAGAAACCAATCAAACACTACCAGGGGAATAAAAGGGAAATCACTGACAAATCAGACTTTTAAAACTCCTCTTAAGAAGTCTGAGCACAATCAAATAAATCACTCTACTGAGTGTACTGACCCTTTAAGTCCCAAACTCTGCCCTGACATTTACTCATCTCTCGATGGCTTGCCAGTGGTTAACACGCACACAAACACTCACACATTCTATCCTGTGACCAGACCCCTTCTCCCCCTGATGTCTGGATTTGAGTTAGCTCACATCTTATATAAACAAAAGTCTCTACACAGACTCATTTTAGCATACAGTGAGATTAGCATTGATTTAAATCTAATCATGCAGGACTACAGCAATAGGCAGGGGCAACTGAGGTGGAAAGCGGTGATGTGGCAAGGTGCGCTAGTCAGAAAAAAAACTCCCAGTGTACTGGCCATCAGTCCCACTCTGTGTGCCCATCAGCTGTACAGAATTACATTATTTACAAGTAGTGCAGGCAGCGTCGCTCAGGGTGAGAGCGACTACATATCCCTGCAGAATAACCACATAAAAACACACATATCAGGCAACCTTACATGGGGGTTGTGTTGGATGAGGATGAGGGTGTCTAAGATCAAGCCTTGAGGTTAAAATACAGCAGTGTTGTTACATAAGAAAAGGGAAAAGGGGAATGAAGATTTTATTGTACAGTTGTGATGAGCAAAATGGCCACCTTGCCACGGTGATCGAAGCATAAATGCTTTCGTTAGGAATTGGGAGACCAGCAGCCAGCCAATATGCACTTTACAGGAGATGCAAGTCTAAGCATTTGGTCGTTTTTGTTTGGATGCCATATACAAGATATGTGGGGTAATATAAGCAAAGCAACTAGAGGATCATTAACATATATCTCAGCTTATTATCTTCAGTTTAAATGCTGTTTTTGAATGACAATGCACAGGCTTTTTAGATTTCATCATTTCAGATTCTCTGTTTCCATACCTCATGTTTTTGTTCTTAATATATAGTAATTTGATCTTTACTCTTTTTTTTTTGTGTGTGTGTATATTTTCAGTGGGTCATTTCGTTCGAGTTCTTCACCTCCGGAAGAACATGGGGTTGCGCAGGCAGGCGGCTAGTCACCTGCAACACCCCAGGGGTCCTGCAGAGGTCTCCAGGCTGCTGTCAGTGTCTGAGGCCAGGGTCTGGTCGGTGGACATGGAGGAGATGTCGTTGATGGAGGAGGAGGGAGGGAGGCTCTCGCTGCTGTTCACGGCTGCACCTGTGCTAAGGGAATCAACAGCAGCAGGGGGTTACAACGTAAAAAGAGACCAGAGGAAAGCAGCAGTATAAATACACAAGCAGAGAAGGTATTGTGCACACAGTGAGAGAAATGTTGTAGCTGGATATGTTCTGTGACACTGAGACATCAACAACATCGACAAAAGCTGTAAAAGGACAACATGATCACAGTGTGTTTGTAGTGAGGAAGGTGTAAGTAAGCTTCAGGGTCCGATGGGTTTCACAGGAAATCTTATCAGAGTCTGCAGCTTTTCAGCACATCCTTATAATTTGCCTAATAGCTATGCACATCAATATAAACCCAGACATGATTAGGATTGGATATTTTACAGTGCAATCTATTTTGTTTTGAGGGCTTTAATGTGGCTGGGCCTTGTCAAAAGCATTTTTCAGTTGACCATGTTAATGCCATTTTTTGCTCAGTCATTTGTCCTCTTTTTTAAAAACACCCTGACTTAGTCCCCATGATCTTGTTTTGAAGGCAACTTTTGTGATTTTTTTTAGCTACTGTGGCAACTTTTATTATCATTATGAAAGAGACTGAAATGAATACCTGTTTATGACCTTTAAAGGCAAACAAGACCATCAGCAACAAGATAGATTATGTCTATGTAGTTATTTTGATGCCTGTAACCGCTGCTGCAGGGTAGGTGTCAGACAAGATGAGTCTTCGTTTACATTTCACACTGAAAATATTCACACTATGTGACAACATTTGACTGTTTAAAAAAAGGATTTGTTTTTTCAAGTAAGAAAAGAGATATATTTCCTATTTTGTCCACAGGGGGCACCAAAATCAACAAAAATGGAAATTTCCTCAAATGAGTAAGGTTAAAATTACTTATCGAGTCTAATTAGCTGTTTTTTTAAAATGTTTTTGTCATTCATAATAAGACCAAGACTTCATTAAACACAGCAGAAGTATTTGATTTCCATGCTTGAATTAACTTTGACAGCACTTAACCTCCATTATTGTTTGAGTATTATTGTACTTTTGGCAGCTGATAAGTCTCTTTAATGTTTTCATGGGACTAGCTTTGGACTTTAGGTTTATTTCTGTCACCAAAAAAGTCAGAAGGTATCAAGAACTTCTGTGGGTTTTGACTTTTACCAAATCCTCACTGAGAGTCTTATGCTGCCCTTCATAGTTTATTAGCAAATCAACAAAAACAGTCTGCTTTTCAGTATGATGTTAGCTGAAAGAAAACAGTGATTGAAAAGGATGAAGACAAGAATTAAAGGTTATTATCAATGTGAGAAAATCGCTGGAACAACTGTCGTTAGATTTGTTTCCAGGCAGGCCAGTAGTTAATTGATGTCCATAGATGACACCGTACAGTGCAGACTATCTGTAAATCTGATGGTTGTGTCTGCTCCCTGTTGGAGGTAATTGCTTAATGAAGACTGTCGGGCACTTGAGCTGACCCAAAACAAAACAGAGAACAAAGCAGGATTTATAGCTGGCATTAATTCCAGCAGGAGGTTTACTTACTGTAAACACATCAGAACCAAATGCTAAAAGTCACAGTGTGTGTGCAGGAAAAGTTTAATGACTTGAGTAGAAAAAAAAAATACTGCTAGCAAGAACGAATACCATAACGGAAGATTAACGACTGACGACTAATCTTGGGAGAAACTCTGACAGAATTTGTGACGAGATATTTGAACTCTTGCTCTGAAATAATCTAGCAGTCCTTATAAACCACTGCTATATGCCCTAATGTATGTTTTCACTTTTTTATATATTTCAGATATTCTCGTGATGAGTCGAGCGTGGTCATGTAATGGGAGTTACCGTAAAACTTCAGATAAAAGCCCATCCCAAATGAAAGCCTAGTCCCTTTCACTAGCCTGGTGTCGCTGCAAGTTTTGACCTATAAAGGCTCCTGTGAGTCTCCCGTTCAAATAGTTTGTGGATCAAAATAAACGATAAAAAGCTGCACGACAGAAAAAACAAAGATGAACTTCAACATCCGTCCGAGATAGACAAAACAATGCTCATAGGTGTACGGGCAATTAAGCAGGTGTGCATGCAGCTTTACAAAGTTTATATCCTAATTTTGTTCAAATTCAAATATTTGTTCTGGTGTTAGTTTACAATTTTATAGTCTTTCCCATCTTTGCTTTGCACGAGTGCTGTTTAAAAATAATAAAAGGCCTGTCTAATATTGATGCCTGTCCTAAATAAAGGAAGGATCATTTCATAGACTGAAGTGAATAAAAGCCCGGGCTATTACTTTAAGTTTTATGGTAATGTTTATATTAAACTGTATTGAAAATCTACCGTGTGTAAATAAACAAAGTCTATAGTGCCGGTCTTGTAATTGCTTAACGAGTAATAATTATGGAATAAAAGATGTTGAAATCTCCAACACACACACATGCAGGAGCACACAAAGAGCTGCAGGGCCGGTCTGCTTTCTGACTTTCATGTGTGCTCTCAGCTCGTCTGTTCCTCTGCTGCAGTAAAGACTCTGCTGTCTGCAGTGCCTGCAATGCCCTGAGTCTGCTGAACTCAGCATCAGACAGCCAGCCCATCTGCTTAATTACAAGTGGATGGCAACAAAAAAAAAAAAAAAAGACGGAAAGATGGCAGTGATGCTTTTCTGAGAGGCGGAGTGGGTAAAGAAGATGCGATAAAGAACAGCTGTTGCATTATGGGATGAATTCATCCTATTAGCTCTTTACTGATCTCAATATTTCAGACACATCTCTACCATGTTATCTTTCAGCTTGAAGATGCTTGCAGAAGATTACATACTGCATTTAAGTTTAAACTAACTGCTTTTACAATGAACTGCTGAGTGTGTTATTTTTGGCTCTGCTAGGATAAGAGAGATAAACGTTCATTAAGCTTTTTACAAGTAAAAGGTTTCTAAATTCTAAAATGTTTGAATGCTTAGGGAGAGTATTTTGAGGGGTAATGTTTATACTTCGATGAATTTTTGATACACACTAATTTAACTGCATTTTCACATGTGGCAGTCCCTCTTCTGGCTAACACGTGTTACTCTCTCTGAAGGATTCAACTTCAATAACTTTGAGTATGCGTCAAAATGGTCTTGACGTTTTGTTCTTGAATATTTCTGTATATTTTTTATATTGAATATCAATATTTTTTTACAAACATGAACTGAGTCTAGATGATCTATAGTCAATGTGCATACATGACTCCACACTGCCTCTCTGTGGCAAAGTATGGGAACTGCACCTGATGTTTTTTTTTTTTTTTTGGTGCAGAGAACAAAAAAAACATCAAATGTCAGCTGCAGCTGTGGACTGAAATGTCCTGTGACAGACCCCAGAGAACCCCAAACTTAAATCAGGGACATGTTGTACATGAATACATACATTTCTATTTAAACAACAAACAAACATTACATGTTAATTAATTATGTCCAATAAAAAAACTATCTTAGCAATTCTTGTTGACGAAACCATTTAACAAATACACTGTGCACAAGAGAACAACACTACATGTTCAAAAACAGAGGATGCAAAAGACAGAGACGCATGGTCGACAACACGATGGGTTATTTAATTTACAAGTGACTCCAGTAAGGTTATAGTAAATTCACTTACAGAGCGATTAGGGTTATGCACTGAGAGTACCTGAAGGTGAAGGCTGTCCCTTCACTACGCCATTCTTCGTTCTCTCCTCAAAGTTCATCACCTCTTTGTAGATTAATTCTGCCAAATAGAGAAAACATATTTAAAACCAAACATATTGGTAAAAATTGTACATTAACCTGATGATTAAAATACAAACAAAATGTATGTAGCTGATTCCAATGCCCGTGTTTTTTTTTTTCATACTTCATCTTATTTCTTCATGTCTGTTTTTCAGAGTGCTATGAGATTTCATGAACTTAAATTGTTTATAATGTCAATATTCCCTGGAACAAGTCCTACAAACTGCATGTCACTGGTCTTTTTTAACAGACGATGTACGACTCCGACTCTGCTGACATTTTATTTCATGCCTGACCATAAAAACAAATCAGAGATTGTGCTATAGGTCACTTCTGCCCACAGCCAACATTTTCTTTGAATCAGAGGTAAGGTACACTAGCTTGTCAGCTTTAAATTGATACAACACAAACAGATACACATCGGCTACTGACATCGTGTATGCCGCATTGTTTGCCGATGGGCTGATGTCTGTAAACAGGGTGGACACCATGGTGCATTCCTCATATCACATCATACCATGTTTATACTCGACAATGAAAACTGAAATGATCAAATATTGTTCCCCGAATATAATGACTTTTGTTTAAAGCGGTACTTTGATGGTGTCTAACTATTAAAGAATACTCATTGATAACTGATACAAAAATAGTTACCAAGAGACTTCTAATGTAAGCTAGCACAAAAAAAGGAAATGATAAATGTTTGTTTTTGTTTGATTCATGGTTAAAAAAAAAAACGTTACTCAAAAACTAATCCTCACCTTTCCATTCATCAATGGAGTGTTCTCTTTCATCCAGCTGCTTGTCGTAGATCTGAGGCGGAGGCTAAAGGGGATGAAGCACAAACATTTAAGTTAATCTTACAAATCAGTCAGAAATTCAATTTAGGATTTGAGATTTGAAAAACATGAATTCATATCACTGGACGTATCACGGCAAGGTGCTACAAGTGACTTACTGTACAATCGTGTTTTTACCCCTTTATGTTATTATGCATTGAGATTGGTAGTATGTAGACGAATAGATTCAAATATGAGGTTAAAATATCCAAACATGAGACAAACATCTGACGGATAAATTCTGTATGAACACAAAGACATGCTCGGTCGGCTCATGTGGATAATGGAGAGAAAATAAGGCTATGACAGAAAACAAACAATGAGGAGTTAATTATCCTTAATCACATCAGATGAAGTCTTACATTAAAAAAGTTTGCGATACATTTTTTTTTTTTGTGAAGCACATGAAAATGAGCATAAAACAACTGACGGACAGAGAGATACGGTCTGGTGTTCTTTTCTAGCTACATTGCGGTTGTCACAAATCTGCTGTCTGTCGTCCACTCAGCCCTGCTCTTAGTGATCCTGCTGCACCATATGACACCATAACCACACAGGACCACCATAAACCTCTCTGACACGACCATGGTGGGACATTTTATCTTTAGCATTCAGCAGCTACAGCGAGACAGAAGTGAGGAATTCCTTCAAACACAAATCAATTAAATGTCTTTTCATCACTTCTCTGCTTCTAAACATCCTAAAATAAATGCCTCAGCTTCACACTGCAGTAAAACCCACAATCCCAATGCAACACTTTAGTCCAATGCAATATGCAAATTCAATTATGATTCTTTTTAAATCATGCTGAATGAGCGACAGTGCTGAACCAAATGTGTCAAAGTGTCTCAAATCAAACCTCTTCAGTCCCATTGAATTTGTCATTTTCATTGGATGTAGGGCGGTTGTTATTTACCATGGATATTTGGATGAGATCTCTGGCCTTCATCAGCATGAGATGACATTAGAGAAAGGGAAAACAGCAGAAAATGTGTTGAAAATGCCATTCACAGCCATATCATACAATCCACATCAAGTCTAACAACAATAACAGCATGAAAACCATCAAAGAGCTACACAGCTAAGACAAGTGCACAGTGAAATCCTCAGAGAATGATTAAGAACTACAATGGAGGTGTGGCATTTTGTAAATTATTCTTTTTGAAAGCTAGTATAGACTAGCCAAAGACAGCGCTGAAATTGGTCAGCTGGTCATGCATTCATTAGTGTATTGCTGCAAGTAGAAGAAGTGGTATCTGTGCTAAGTTAATGGAGCTGCAGATGGCGTTTTCCCAATCTCGCTGTCACCTCATACTAATGAGGCACTGATGAAGAAATTAGACTTCACCAAACGGACCAGAAACACCACCACCACTCTTACATTACGACTCAGAACAATGCACTAAGTCACTCCGTTATCAGTAGCAGCGAGAGTTAATTTTCACTGATCTTGAATACCACTCAGATATGTTTTTTTATAAAACCACATGTGAGAGTAAATGAAAATGAGATGTGAACAGAAAATTAAAAAATTAAATTAAAAAAATGCACTGATGCAGCCATTTTCACTGATTTGAAACGAACTAGACTAAAAACAGAATTTAAAGAAAATGAGAGGAGTCATCAGCGTTGTTATCTTTTGTGATACTAATTAACATTCAAAAACAAGGAAAAGGAGGATTAAGGATTAGGCTGAGGACAATAATCAATAACACAGCTCTGCCAGAGGCCTACTCACCGCCTCCACCTCAGCTGGGTCGTACCACACGTTGATGTAGGGGTGCTGCAAGGCCTCGTCCACCGATATCCGTTTAGACGGGTCGATGATCAGCATCTTAGACAGCAGGTCTCTGGCCTGACTCGCTGTGGGTTTTGAGACAAACAGACAAACATCTGGTTGAGATCAAGAGGCATGAAAATGGTTTTCTTCTGTTTGTGTCACTTTGTGAGCCAGAGGGAATATAAAAAAAAAAAAAAAACACAATTAGGACAGAGGCAAGAAATGGATTAAAGAGAATAATACACAACAGCAGCTGCTTCAAAAGGGAAAACAGAAAAAAAAAAACATTTTCAGCAAATAAACAGAATACTTTCACAAAGGGAAAGATTCTGAAAAAAGCTCTATTTTGACTTTTTGTTATCATGAAGTATGCGGTGAACGCGGAGGAAAATGTACTGCAGATAATTCTGCTATTCCCTATCAACCACCCAGATCTCTCTCTCTCTCTCTCTTTTTTTTATCTAATTAAAATTCAAGACTCAGGCTTGTCCCAAATACTGTTTATCTCTGATTCATGCAAAATTTAGGTCTTGGTGCTATTTGTAACAGGATGATTCAGTCATCCTGGTCTTAAATAATTTATGGGATCTGTGAAATTACCTGCTCCCCCTGGTACCTTCTCTAAATAAAGACATGCGTATGTGGAGAATGTGCTGTATTTCAGCATCTCTTAAAGGGCCGGACTCTCTTAACCGAAGGGCCTGCCTGACTGATATGAAATTGAGAACCCTTAAACCACACACCCATGCTCTCCTACACACACTGACCCTGATATAAATAGCACTACAGCAGCACAGGACTCAAGGAAGTGAACTGAGAGCAGAGAGAGAGAGAGAGAGAGAGACAGATGAGCCGGCTTTCTGCCTCAGCATCCAAACGTCAATAACAAAAGGATGGTAAATCTGAAAAATGACTCCTCTATCGCGCTCCTCTAACCTTCCTTTACCCTTTATCTGTCTGTTTTTTTTTTCACTCTCTCCTATAGTAGGCCTCTTCTCCAACAATTCAAAAGTACCAAAGCCCCAAAGGATGTCTCCCTCAGTTCCTGCCTGTAACGGCACAAAACATTCACAACAGCAGCACTTTCAACCCGCTCTCACTCCCTCCCACTCTCTGTAGGTGCTTTTCCTTTAACACCATCACTCCAGCAGGGAGCAGACAGCATACAGCAGTGATTCATGAGAAATGTACCAGACAGGCGCTTTGATGTAAGGGTGAGGCAACATGAAAAAAAAAAAAAACATATTTTCTTATATCTCATTGGAGGGATTTTCCTCTTTTTATACCACTAGGATGAGAGATTGTGATTCTCAGTTGAGATGGCAGCAACATATGATGTCTTAGTTAACGCCCTGCAATAAATTTAATTCACCGAGGCTTGAGGGATACTGTTCAAAGACTTCATTTTAGGGAACACGTTTCGGTGTAATGTGTGAGCCCTGAAGGCAAACGAAAAAAGTAGAAGTTTTCTGAGGTAAAGGTTGACCAGAAGTTTTTTATAAAGGACTTAAACTCAAGAGTCTGCAGACGTCCTGGGTGCTGTTTGAAGCTGTTCTTACAGCTAAACTGTAACATTAATATGCTAATAAGGTCTTAAAGTACATTTATATTAAAGGGAGTTTAATTGGTTTCGAAATAAAGTGTTGCACCAAGACTAGTCAGTGGATCACCAAAGTCAGAAGTGAATATTCTTAAGACTGAACACTTTCTCTCATCACAGTGCTCATAGAGTGATGGTGGACCGATACCTGTCCAACAATATCGGTCGACTAATATATCATTCAGGTATGACTTTTTGTCCGGGCAGAGTGTAAATGATGCAGAGGTAATTAAAGCTGCTTCATGACTGGCTATATCATTTATTGAAACATTAAAGGGACAGACGTCATATTTGTGTGATGGTTTAAAGAAGCCATTAGGATTTCTATGAACACTAAATGCATGCTTAGTCGTGTGTGGCGGTATGTTTTTTCAACAACCCTGCCATTAAAAAATCCTCTACAAAATTCTCTCGGTTGTAAATGTAATTCTGTCCAAGATGAGGGACCAACTATTCAGAAACACCTTATGTTGCGTCTTTAAATCAAAAAGATTCTATGAGTGGTATCATGGTGATGGTTTTGACTTTTTTTTGTGAGATCAGGCAGGAAATACTCCAGAGTACAGGAACATGCCACAGGGACACAAGTGTGTGTCTTTAAACACAGACGTGATAATGTTTTAAATGTGAATAATCAACCAATACAATGGAGGACACAGACGACTATACACTATACAGTTTAACACAGCTCAAGTGCAGGTCCAGTTCTCACCTTTGAGTTTGTTGTGCTCGGAGTCAGCAGGGAAAAGGCAGTCAGGGAACAGCTTGGGGAAGGTGAGGCCTGCGTACTTTGGCCGGTTCTCTACATAGTTCCTCACTGTGGGCTGCAGCTTCTTCATGAAGTCTGGTGAAGGTGTTCCCAGCTGCTCGATCACCTTGTTCCACTGGTCGATGTCTGATGTGGGGTGGTCAGGATTAAGGGGAAAAACATTTGGAAGAGGCAACATCCTGTTCACCTACTATACTAGACTCAGGCGTAATTAGGACAAGTTGTAAAAATGGTTGAGGTTCACTCATAATCATGTTGGATTCATGTCGACCAAATGAAAACAAAACAAAAACACAACATGGTGTAGTGGACAGAGTATCATTTCTAAGGTGTGATCCCAAAGTCTAATTGCTTTAATGTGATTTCTGAACTAAATTAGGTTGTTTTTATTATGCCCCAACAAAGCATTACATCAATAATTTGTGACCAAAATCCTGTCCATTGATTATAACAATTCATTTTTCTTTTTCATTCATTTTCCTCACAAAATACCTCCAGTCTATTTTTTTGGGGGGCTTCCTGGGAATTAATTACTTATTCCAATTCACACATTTATTTTATGCCTTGAAATCTGTGAAAAGATGTGTCATCTCTTGCTGATGTTGTCCTGAACATGTGTCAGTAGTGTTCGTCCTGCTTTCAGGAACCTGTGCTTTCAAGTTGCGTTTTGGTCGTGTGCAAATGAACACTTTGTCTGACACCTACCTCCTAGCAGCAGTTTCAAGCATTAAAAAATAATGTATAGAAACAATCAATCTTGAGGATTATGGTCTTGTTTGCTTTTGTAGGTCATATAGAGTCACCAGTTTTAATTTTAGACTGTTTCATAACCATCTGAAAACTTCTCATAGTAGCTTTAAAATGCATTGAATACCCACTAGTTTTTAATTAATAAGATGAATCTTTCATGTACAAGTGGATGTGTTTGTGTTTGCATATATGGTTGTGAGGTGTTATCAGCCTATGTTTCCAGACAAATATCTCCTCTCTTACCCCTCCACACATTCCCAGTAACCCTCCCTTCCCCTTTTTCTCACACAGGCTGCCAGATGAGGCCGTTGGCTGCCAGGACCACCAGAGATCCCCGGTACTTCAGCTTACTGGAACGCTTCAGACTTCAACCTCTTTTTTTGTCTCTGTAGCACATTGGCCATGATCCACCCTGTGCTCTGTGAGGCATTTTTTTTTTTTTATCCAGTAAGTTTCTTATCCATGGCTCCTTGGCAAGTTTTCGGATTCACTCAGACAGCTCGAGGTGCTTTTTCCAGTGTGTCAGTGCCAAACTGCATGAAGCTCCAATGTGTTTGGAGTCTCGGAAAAGGGCCTCATGCACCTGAAGGAAACCTATCTCGTGAAAATGCTGCATGGTCTCTATGAAATTCAGGTTCACATGTGAGGAAGCAGGAGGCAGAAGGATACGGTCAGTCCCAGGGAACAGCACTGTCCCTCTTATTACCTCTCCAAAGATGCAGCCCACTGACCACATGTCCACTGGGGTCACACACAAACACACATTACCAACTCTTATTAAAACACTTCTACCTTCTAAATGAATTGCACATCGGCGTATGTTAATGCATTTTCATTTATCACATTCTTAATGTGTGTTAAAAGCCCTTGTCTTTATTCAGTAAAACCTAGAAGTACTTTTGTTGACCCATCTTAATCTCAGTGGATGTTACATTTATTTGGTTGAATTGGAAAACTGCCAACCTAAAAGGTTAGCCATGTGAGCCTATGGTTAATTTGATCTCTTAACATTTATTTGAACCGTTTAGAAAACAGTCTGTTTCTCTGCCTCTTGGCTTTATTAGTCTAAGCATTAAAAAAACATTTATTATTGACTGCAAAATACAGCCTGCTGGGCTATTACACATAAATGCAGTTTATGTTGAACTGTGCAAAACCAACTGTAAATCATTTTTAAGGATTAAAATATTAGCAGCACTTTTAGCTCAATGAAACATTAAAAAATATGCTAATTTAACAGCACAAAGGCTAATAAGCATTTCATTTTAGCATCAACATCAACAATTTCTTGCTAATCTTATAATGCTAATGTTAGCTAGTTACAAATATCTGTGCAAAAGGCTGAAGATAAAGTCACACCACCAAATATTACATTAAGTTTAATACTTTATGGGTCCCCAGATGTTAGATCCCCCTAAGGACTGTTAGCTTGACTGTTAGCTTGACTGTTAGCTTGTAGACAGGCATTATGATTGCATTAAGATAAATAGACTGGGGCTTGTGTTTTGCTTTTTGTTGCATTTCTGTTTACAATACAGACTGATTTATTAATTTCACTGTAACAGTAACTGATCTCATAAAGCAAGTGATGTTGACTAAGCCACGCCCACTTTTGGGTGAACTACACCTAGGTCACTCTCGTACCAGGTATTTTGTTTCATTATAAGTTCATCACAAGAAACAAAGTGGGCTAAATGTTCCTGTAGTGAGCTATCCATATTTAAGCCTAAAAGTATCCACTCAGCTTGAGTTCCCTTGCCATCTCTCTCATTTAACAACCCACTGTACTAATCGGCTATCAAACAGCCAGTCACCCCGAGCCTAACTGTGCAGTGACCCGTGTTAACACAGCCCATCTTTCGACAGAGTCTCAGGAAGGTAATACTCAAGGTCAAAAGTCTATGAAGTAAATTAAGATCAGCAACAGCAGGGTACCAGCCCAGAACTGATCTATAAACAGACGATTAACAAAAGTGTGCATGACTACAGATCATTGATCTACAGTGAGAGAAGATGGAGTGTTAGAGGGTAAGGTCGACGTGAGAGCAGAGATAGAAGAAGAGAGCGATATTGCAGAGCTCAATGCAGGGGTGTTCTTGTTCTACAGAGCATTAATCTTTGAGAGACTGCATGCTCGGGGATCTACAGAGTATTAGCGACAAGCTTCTGCCGACACACAAAGTGTTGCTTTTCTCACTGCTTATCTCTACCTAAATGTCTGACAGTAAAAAAAAAAACTCATTTTAAACAACAACACTGGCAGTATTTCAAACCTTTCTTATCAACAAAACGTTAGCCCATCTGAACATGTCACTAATATATACTTTCATTATTTAAAAAAGGCTTCCTTTCTTAACTGGAACAGTTTTGTGACGATGTAAACACAGGAAATAGCTCATTTGGATTTGAGGAGGTGATTATAAATGGCTGCAGATTGTGGAGGATTGAACATGTTAACCACAGCAACAGTGCTGTTTATGTGTTTTTGGACAGAGGTGGAGATAAGTTATACATATTGGCTTTGTCCAGTCAGACAATCACACTTCTTAGCCAAATACTTAATTATCTATGTTTGTGGGATGATTTCATATTAATGAGCATCAGGTATACCTCAAAAGTTGTCCTTGAACAGAAAACACATTTGTAGCTCGTATTATATCATTTTGAGTGCGTCCCAAAGACCGCAGTGAAGAGGAGGACTCAGGAAAATGAACTCAGTGCCCTAAGCCTGCAGTTTTTTAAATGGCCAGCAGGGGGAAACTTTACTAGTTGCAATTGTCTTGACACTGATTCTCACTTGATTTATTACCTCAGTTGACTTTATCCTATTACATTTCTGGTATCAGTCACTAGCTTTAAGTCCACCTCAACACAGCACATTATTCACTGAGTAAATAGTTGACTTATTTGGAGTAAAATAGACAATTACGCAGGGTATGCTCTTGGGCACTGCTTTCTTTTGTCTGACATGGTGCCACCACTGCAACCTCTTAATTTGGATAGAGAATAGTAATGCATTCAACTTCCTTTTCCTAAAGTGATCACTTGCCATCAATAAACAAGACCAGTTCCAAAAACCAAGTAGACACAGCCAAAGTGCAACACCATTCACTAATGAACGTTGCATCCACATACAGTCTATGATATGATACATCTGCTTCATCGTAGCTGCCTCATTTTGTTTGTTTGACGATTTAGTCAACACCTTCAACGTTTGCACTTTCCTCACACCAGGAAATGCATTCAAATAACGAGCTATGAACAGATGCTCAGAATGATTACATTAATCATTCATTATTATTCACTGAATGCTTAATAACTATGTCTGACTCACATATGTGGGCACCTTGAGGTGGCGAGATGTACTGAACACACATGAACAAAGTCAGCAAGGAGAACATTAAAAAAAAACAAAAAAACAATCCTACAGACGAGTCATCTCAGCCCCCTCACTGCAAGAGGACACACTTTAAAAAACACTGTAAATAATACACACTTAGATATTCAGAAACGTGGATGGAGCGCTTAATCCTGCCAAAACAAGAGACTGATTTCAGCTTCAGATTTAACCGTTTTTATGCTTTTTTTAAAATGTTACTGCAGGTTGAATTAGAAGTGTTGTAAGATCAGTTGATATGAACATGTGTTTTTATAAATATGTGGACGTGAGTGTGGTTTTAGGTCACCTCAGTGACAAACAGAGAGCATTAGGCGAGGCACAGAGTCATCTAAAGTAAATTAATCATAGCGAAGCCGGTAGTGATTATGTTGTCTGTGTAGGTTCTCAGTCATCCAGGTCATGGTGAATTCAAAGCTTGATCCAAAGGCAGCTGGACTGGTCGAAGAGTTGCCTTTGGACCAAAACTTCACATTTATATTGGTTATGTTGCATGCCCCATGTACAGAGACTACAGTCCTCGTCGCAGCGGCCATGGGTTCGAATCCGACCTCGGCCCTTTGCTGCATGTCATCCCCCACCCTCCTTCCTCCCAGCAGTCCCTGTCTTTCTTCAGCTGTCCTATCCAATAAAGACCAAAATGGGCCAAAAGATATTTTAAAAAAGAGGTAAAAGGTAAATCAATTATATAAAATGACTGATTTTAAGCAAAGTCTAAGAAAAACACGGTTTCATTTGGGCGCCCTAGAGTTACTCATGTATAAATTAAGAATGTTTTTATATTCTGCATTATAACACAAGACATATCCCTACAATATAATAAATGTCATTACCATCAGATAAATTCGCTGTGTGTTTATAAGGATACAGTCTCGGCCAGGGAAGAGGATTTTGTGGCGCACCATTTCTCCCATAATGCACCCCACCGACCATATATCCACTGCACGCACAGAGGTGACAGTAAGACGAAGCGGGAGCAAAAGAAAAGAGAGGAAGGCAAAAAAGGTTAGTGTGTGACACATCAAGCGACATTAGATTAGAAACAAGTTGTTATTCGTTGGAGGGAAATAATTAGCCGGGAGCATGTTACACATAGACTTAAATACGAATGAAAAGCAGGTTTACACAAAGAGCAGAGAAGCAGAGCCTTAGAGGGACTTTTGTAGTGACAGGAAACTGAAAGCCTCGGCTCCTACAGGCTTCCATCCATGAGAGGAATAATACAGCAAATGAGTCACAACGTTGGCTGGGTTTCAATCACATGTCTGAGGATCTGGGGGCTTTTAATCAGTGACTCAGACATCCAACGCTTCAGTTCACTTGAGTTTGTTTATAAAGTGCACCTCCCCTAGAATTGTTTGTTAGGTGTCACACATCACACACTGTGACTTTTATCTGGGATCATTAAGGTATAACAAGTGTAATTTAATCTTTTTTTTTTTTTCTCTTCATCATTAATGCCTTCAAGAAGATAATTACAGCTTCATCTGTCGACTGAATGTTTTTCTTTGGGGAAGTCGCCGTGTCTCTATAGTTTGAAAATACATTTCATAGGCTTCAGTGCAAATAGACATACGGCTGCTATATTTTCAATCACCTCTTGAAACGACTTTGTAACACGGCTGCAAAAGTTTTATTTGACTACAGAGAGATTTCGTCTTCTAGGCTGCACTAACTTCCGTTCCCTTTTCTTCACAGCCACCAGAAGAGAGCAGCTCAGTGCGGTTTTGGGAGCACTGAAAATAGCTCCAAAAAAACATATTCAGTGATGCTTCATACTAGCTCATTCTGCTATACACCTGTGAGCAGGTGTTAGACTGATTGTGGATATAATTAAGGAAGGCAAATAACACACTGGCTCCACTGTTAACCACGAAATATGTCTGAATTTGATCCAAGCAAGCTTAAAGTCAATTCTCATGACTTCTCACCATTCTCTTTGTATCCCATTCCCAGGATAACCTCCGGGGCTCTGTAGTATCTAGTCACCACATAAGGGGTCATCATGAAGCTGGTGCCCGCAGTCCTGGCCAAACCAAAGTCCAGGATCTTCAGGGTGCAGTCTGACTTCACCACTATATTGCTCGGTTTGAGGTCCTGGAGACGGGAAAAGACTGGATGAGAAACTGTGTGCATGTTGGTGAAGTGCAGATCTCCTTTTCTATTTGTGTTTAGTTGTCTGGCATTTGTCAAAGTGATACACACTGACACAGTCTGTCTGCACATTCTCTGAATATTCTTTTTTTTACCACTGACGCAAAAAAAAAAAAAAAAAAACATCTTTGGTAACAACTTTGCAGAAATAAACACAGATTTGGGTTAAAGGGTGATTCTAAAATACAGTAATAACAGATGCTAGGTATGCTAATTGGATGCTGGCTTTATAATAACGTACTCTCTTCTACAAAGAAACTAAGTGTGTTTCCCAAAATGTCTACCCTGTGTTGGTTATTTTGATTTAAATCAGATCTGTAAATGGAAACACAGAAGCAACAATTTGATAGTCCTCAGCTTTATTGTTTTTTATCCTCATGCATCTCCCACTGTAAGGTCATGCACTTTCATTTACTGACCTGCCAGTGAGGAACTTTAGGTGGAAGAAGAAACACATGCAACATCTCCTTGATCATATTTTTCTTTCCCATAGGTAATCTGGGCAGCTAGTTAAAACTGATCCCTCACAGGCTTACCACCCAGTGAGGGAGAGACAACACATAATCTAGGGATTAAGGCTTTGTCACTGTAGTGCCTCGAGGGTTTTCCTTTGATTGCCAATTAAATGACCAAAGTGACATCAAGGTTTAAGGTAAGTCTACGGGTGTTTTACTAATATTTGTTATCTCAAACAAATGAAAAAAATCCCAAACCTGTTCACTACAGTTTGAGTCTCCTAGCTTTCTTACCCTGTGAATAATACCGGCCGAGTGCAGATGTTTGATACCACACAGCATCTGGTAGAGCAGGTAGGACATTCTCTCATGGTCAAGCTCCATCTGAATCACCTGGCACAAGTTGGCATCCATCAGCTCCATCACTAGGTACCTGAAAAAGAGTTTTATTGATTTGACACACTTCACTAATTAGCATTTGATGGATAAGCCGTCTAATAAAATATTCAAAACATTTTGTTCCTAAGTTATTTAATATATATATTATATTACATATTGAGTATTCAGCAGTGCTTCAACTGTTTCAGTCTGAAAAAAATAAAAGTCCCTCAAGGATTCATTAATTCTTCTGCAGAACTTTTTACCCTGAGATTGTTCTTAATGTGAAAACACTCATTCATCATTCAGTACGTGCACGAGATACATTCAGCAGCCTCAGGTTACACCTACACTACTTTCACTAACACTCAAGAAGTAGTGTTATAACAAGTGAAGGTGCAAAGTAGGAATCTGCCCCCTTCTTCTTTCTGTTATATACAAAGTTACATGAAAATAAGTTGAGCTCTATTCATATTTTGTAGGGATGATATTATGCAGGTTTGCTATACTCACACATCCTGGAATTCCTCTAATGATTTCTGTGGTGTGAAGACATTTAATAAACTGATAATCTGAAAGAGAGAAGAACAAGCAAATAATCAACATGCAGCAGTTTAATCAACACCTAAAATACAACAGTTGAGGAGACAAGTGTGTAATGACCCTGATGAAGGACACAGCTGAGTGAGAGACAGATTCAAGTTGGAACAAAAGAGTGAGGATAAATTTGCAGAAGAGGATGAAGAGACAGAGAAGAAGAAAAGGGGACAAACTGCAGCGCTGGAGATTACATTATTGCCTCAGAGGGCTCTCTGTTTCACTTCCATGCCAGTTCGGTAAATTTCTGGAGGCAAGGAATTTAGCACGGCCACAACATTGCAGTCGCTCGTCTCCGTTTTGTAGGGAAGGGATTTATCCAGAACCAAAAATAGACACTGGCTTTGGGTACTGTTTGAAACAGTGCATCAATCTGACAATGGAGCTGTCTTCTTGTATTCCTTTCTATCTCTGTTTCACCTCGGAGGAGTCACTTACATTTTTGTGATTGACACATTTCATGAGCACCAACTCCCGGTAAGCCCTCTTAGCATGGGTCTGGTTCTGGAAGGGTCTGCTCAGCTTTTTTATGGCTACATTTCTGTCCAGGACAGCATCATAGCCCGCACTGCAGAGAGAAAACATCAGAGTAGAGCAGAAACATTTTATTTCAGTATTCATAGCACGATGCACGTGATTGCATGACTCTGGGACAATCCATGCTGATTGTTACTGGTCACAAAAACAAAAGGATTATTTTCCAATCTGCAAACACACAGACTCATGGAAATATTTGTCAGCAACAGAGAAATACTAAGAGATGGTCAGTGTGACTGTTAAGAGGAAAACCTTTCTTATGCAATTTGAGATATCCCTTACATCATTGACTATAATATTATGAAATTGAGTATAATATTTTAAATTAGACCCTAGACTGTAAAAACATCTCTGAAAATATCAAACTATTCCTATAATTCCACTTCAAACTATTCAAATTCCCAACACTTGAACTTCTCTGTTTTTCAATTTGAGTTTGCATAGCTACCATTAAAAAGGTATAAACACGAGGCAATAATATGCTTCACAATGTTGATGCTGCTTTATGATGTAGCTACAACAATAAATGTTACAATAAAATTATTCTTTTTTTCAATAAAGTGGCTAAAGCCCTCCTGGAGGTCATTACAACAGAGTGAGTTCTTGTTCTTCGCTACACAGCACAATCTCAACATCCTGAAAAACCTTTTAGATTGGTTTGAAATTTAGATTTACAGCCATAGGAAGACATACACATCAAATATTCATCTATATATTAGACTGTGCGTTTTCTTTCAGATGTTCCTGTCCCTATAGGATGTTACAAATCGAGTTACATGGCATCTGTATGCAGGATTAATGCAACCATAACCAATATGACGCTGTGTGTGGGTTTGTGCATGGCTGGGCTGGATACACTGACTGTGGTTCATCATGTCTCTGGAGACTGCAGGCCAGGGATGGTGTGTGACCATGGAAACAGTGCAGTCTTCATAAAAGCATTGATTCAATGGGGATTTAAGCCTGTCATCACTTTTCTAGTTGAGTGAAAGATGATGTCATGACCAGCTAAACTACTTAAAGCCTTCATCCCTCCCTAAGATGCTTCTGAATCTGGGAGCTCATCCTGACCGAGCACAGGAGTCATAAGGGCAGAGCATGTGCACAGATTGCGACGTTTGTGGGCGACAACATTTGCCGAGGGACTTTTTAGAAGCACACGTGATTCACATTTTTTCCCTCATTAACATGTTCCCAGGATTCAGACAGGGGCAAGAGTCTCCTGATTGCGTAAGAAAGGCAGAATACTGTACTGACTGCTGATTTTCTGTGTGGAGTCAGCTTGCTGTCTGTGCATGTACAGACAGCAGCGATGTACAGATATGTGTTATAACTGTTATTAGAAAGGGATCGGACTGTTTGTGCAAAATCGGACAGATGTTGTGTTGTGATGATGTCATCCAGATGGGGATTAGGCTGATAATAATGCCTGGTAAAAAAAAAAAAAAAAAACATCACTCTAATTACTTAATCACCATATTCCAACAGAACCCATTTTCCATCATGAATAAACATTTCAGTTTTGGTTATTTGTTGATGTGATTTTTTCTAACTATCTAATTAATAGTACTTCCATAGCTTGTCCCTTTTAATGTGTATAATTATTAAGATATCATATCAGCGGTATGGTTTGATTTAATATCATCAACGTTTGACACCAGATGACAGCTGTGGGCAGAACGGAGCAGAGTGGGTTCAATTAGATTTTCACTGTCTCCCTACAATATCCTTCAAACAGGCACAATCCCAGCATTAGCAGCTAAAGCCCGCATTGCCTGCCCAAGCTCCTCTGCAAATGCACAAAATTGCTTTGGAGCGGAAGAGGGAAAAGGCCGAGGGCATGGGAAGCAAAGGACGGACAATGAAAGAGGGCGAGTGGAGGGCAGAGGGTTTACAGTGTAGAGAGCCAGTGATTCTTCAAACACTATATAAAATACTAAAACGTGTCAACATGGGTCAACTATGAGCTGACACTGACCCAGCATTAACATGAATATAATTTAAGGATCTTTTTTAGTCTTTTGACAAACACTGTAAGATGCATTCCTTTAAGTGGAGCCTTGGCAGCAGTTCCACTGCATTCTGACAGGACAGGCGTGAGATGAATTACAATGAATACAAGCTCTCTCTGCAATCCGGATTAAGGATTCACTTAAGTGCCCATCTTGTTAGGCCCTTAAAGCCCACATATCCATATTCAAACAACAACAGATATGTCATCACAGCACTGGAGAGGCCTCTTTATATATTTCTCCTTTCCTGAAAAACACTAATGATAATATTTCCCTTTCTTAAAGGAGCTGCAACATCACCTCTAATTTTCACTTAGATTGTCTTATCTATTATTCATCCTACTGTATGCTAATATAAGGTAATCCCCTTTATTATTATTTCATAAATTGTAAAAAAAAAAAATGCACTTCTCAGATGGATACTCTGCTTCACTACTGAATCAGTCAATCTGTCAATCAAATTATCTTTCAGATTATGATCAATACATCATCATGACAAGTTTTATTCGCAACTTTTTAGGATCGTTTGCATGTTTACCCTTAGAGTATTTTCAAATAACTAACTCCTTTACTTCATTAAAGGGGACATATTATGAAAAAATTGACTTTTAAAGCATTTTTGAACATATATTTAGGTAATCTGAGTGTCTACTGACCCACATAATGTGAAATAAATCCATCCAGTCCTTTGTATGTGGTCTGCATAAGTCTTACAACACAGAGAAAAATGCTCCGTTTCCAATGTGCTCTCCTTTTGATGTCACAGTGGGATTCTGGTAAAAAAAAAAAAAATCCCCTCCCCTCCCCTGGTATCTCCACCCCTGGACTCCACCCCCAGCCAAGAGCAAAATATTTAAAAATGTTTAAAAAGGTGGAATAAAATTTTCTCTTGAATAAGTAAACAAAAAAGCGCATATGAAAGTTTTACTTGAAGTTGATCCATTCCCTTTCATTTTGCTCACCTGCATCTACAACCCATGAGGCTGCATGCTATGCTTGTAGATGTCATGATAGGTCAGGCACCACATCTGGTTTTTCACAGGAGTTAAAAATAAGACTTTCATATTGTCTAATTACACCATTATTAATCATGGAAAGTTGGTACAATTTCATTAAATTTAATGTTGCCACCCTTCCCTCACACAACATTGAAAACAATAAACCTCCCTTAATATTCTCCCATAGCAATAAACTACGAGACAATTAGAAAAAACAACTTACAGCTAAATGAGATAAGTGCTCATTAAGTACTGCATAAAAACACATAAAATAGCTTGATATTATGTAAAACAGGACATAAAAGAAATGCACTGTTGAGTACTTACCAGACTATTCCCTGAGCTCCAGAGCCAATGGGCTTTAAATTCTGGTAACGTTTTAAAACTGTGAAAGTAGAGTCTCCCACTTCCACACTGTAGAACTGGTTGTCCACTTTGCTTTTGCTCATGTTGTAATGTTTGGCAATATATGACACATCCACTTGTTTTCCAAAACCCTGCATGAAACAAAGACAACAACAAAAGACACTGTCATTGATGGTTAAGATGATCTGTATGATTAATTACCGTGCAAGTATGAAACACCTGGAAGACAATCATCAACTCAAAAATAACAGAACCAGGTATCACTAAAAATATCAAGTAATTAACATACAAAATATTTTTAGTTTCTGCTATATCATATACTCCAAAACTCTATTAAATAAGAGTATTTATTTATTGGTACAGTGAGAGTTATGTGCTTATTGGTAAAGCTGGAGAGGTAGGATCAACAGGACAAGACATGCAGTACAGTTGAGTTTACACTAAGATTATTTCCATTCAGAAATGTCAACTCGATAATAGCCATGTAACGACATTAGTACCCCTAATGTCTTTACTGTAATAACTAGACTAAAGTCATTATTCTTTCATGAATGTGCACACAACAATTAGGCTATAATTACTTGGGCAGAGCAGTCGAACAAATTGTGCCCCGACCCAAAAAAAAAAATCAGTTAATTACAGACGGGGTAATTACAACCCAGCTCACAAAGCAAACAAAGCTGTTCCGCTATGTGTTATTACTGAGGGGCACACCAGTTTGAAACACTTCCCATTGATGCCATGAAAAAATCATATATGTGATGTAATAAATTCAGCATGGCTGGGAGGTCATTAAAATCTATGATCTAATTATTTCAATACATTGGACTGCAGCTTTCCCTGTGCAGTGACGACTGCTACCTATAGTGACTATTGAGCATCTAGTGAAACATCTAGCTAAAGCATGTTTAATGCAGACATGTCATGCAAGAGTCTCAATCGATTTAGCTACAGTGCGATAGTCTGAAGACTTTGCTTCAAGCTATTGGTCCTTACATGAACAATCTTACAGTATAAACTGCACTGATATGAAATAACATCCCCACAGGAGACAGCAGATACTCTGATTAGGAAATCCCTCTGCTTTGTCTTTATTTGAGATATTGCTGGTAGAAAATCCCTTGTGGTATTTAACTTCAAGCACAAGCAGCCAAATATTTTAACTTTGCATGATATGTATCTACAAAATGTCAAAAAACGCTTTAACTCTCCTCACACAAAGAGCCAAATGAATCATTCATCTTTAATCTTTATTCCTATCAAACATTTTGTAATGTAAACTCAAACATGAATTATCACATTTTACAGACATAAAAACAGAACAACTGCACAACACATAGAGCAATGAAAGGGGAAATGGAAGTGAATGAATACTGTACCTTTTTTACCTGTAAGGAACACACACCTGACAAAAGGCTATCTTCACATCCAGGATAGGTTGGCTGCAGTTATATAAGAAATGTCTGCTCATAAATACCTGAAAGACACAAAGAGAGGAGAGCCAGGATCAGCGGGTGAGAGTCCGAGGTGTTAACATGATTAACAGGAATTTACACATTTGTTACAATTTCTAGCATATGAGGAAATGAACTGACTCCGAGCCAATAAACAGAGGATGTGTATCATCCATTTCACTCCCAACACACTTCATAAAAAAATAAAATAAACTTGAAGCATTCCATTTATCATGGTCTTTCTGAGTACAGAATTTTTCAACATGTCCACCAAAAAGATGGATAGTTTGTTTGGACCTCTGTGTCGACACGCCTCCTGGTGTAGGATTGAATTCTCCCAGACAATTCACTGACTGCGCTCTCCTCTCTGCCAACCATCATTCTCAATGGAAGTGAGAAAAACATTTATCATCCTTACAGGAAAAAAGAGATTCTTTATGAGAATACAATATCGCATGGCTACAATAAAAAAAAATGTCATCCAGATAGTGAAGTGACCTGGATTGGAAAAAAAAATACCTGAACAGCTAGTAGGCGTACAATCAAGGCGTAAAAGATCACCTCCAAGATAAAGCCTCCACATGTACGCCCCCTTATACAACTTCACATCAACATTGTTTTGTTTTTTTTAACCTTTTTTGAGACCTTATTTGATGTGCTGCCTGAAATATTGATGAAACTCTGATGTCTGTTCAGAGGGCTATTCCCAGCTGGTTAGCTTAGTTTAGCATAAATCCTGGCTTTGTCGAATGCTAACAAAACTTTTCAACACCACTAAAGCTAACAAATAAATGCATCTAGTTTGTTTAATTAATCAGAAAAATGTGCCTTTTTTTAGCCAGTTACCTTAGCCCTGAATAAGACTAAAAGGGGAAAACAGCTTGGCTCTGTGAGGCCTGAATTTATTAGCACCCAAATGAATCAATATCACTCGTCTATCTATTAAATGTAAAGCTACTGCTAACAGCAATTTTAGCAAAATATGTGTCTGTTTGCTCGTTAAAAGCTTCGTTAAAAATAAAGAAAAGTAAATGTGAAAAGAAGCTAGCTGACTAACAACAACACATTTAACCTGTTTATTGATTCATAAAAAATTAGTCATCATCCTAACACAGCAGAGATTTCAGGAAGTGACAGTGAAATTAAATAAACTACACGCTAATCAGTGAGCTCTTGTCGTGTTAAAGTGCTAACGCTGAATCGTATCTTTCCGCTAGGCTATAGGCATTAAAAAATACAAATGTCTTTCTTCTCAGCATAAAAGTAAATAATCTTCTTGCCAAAAATGTCTAGGTTAATAATTTTTTTAATTCCCTTCTCTTTGAAAAGTCCTCAGTATAGAAAGTAATGACACTTGAGATATAAGTCTTAGGACCACAAACACATATCGAAAAAAACAGGACGGTCAGTTATCAACATTAGAAACATTTTTCCTTTCATACTGTGACACCGTATGCACTTAGCCATTAGCGCTTACATTTTATCACTCTGACACTCATTAACCTCTTCAACCTTCACCCGAGCTGTGAGTCATAAGATAACACATGAAGTTTCACAGGGTAACACTTAATACTGCTATCATACATGAAGCAAACTTTCAAAGAGCTTATACCATCAGGCATGAGCATTTGCATAAAACCAGTGTAGTCATTTTGGCACTGTTGAGGGGCTTTTTACTGCAATGGGGCAAGTAATGGGTCAATTTGGTTTTAGTGCAGATTTTCACATTTTCGTCTGGTTTCTCTTTTGGCAGAAAAATTCCACTGAAGGAATAAAGGACAGTTGCCGTTGCAGTTCCCACATTACGCAGACGCTAGAAAGGCTGCAGCTATCATCCACGATGACTCTAATGGCTTTGAGGATTTTCCAGGTAATGAATCCCCCAGTATGCTGATGATTATGTGCTCTGAATGGATTCATGTGTGGTGTTAATGTTGGCATAAAAAATAATAGAAAAAAAGAGTGGGGGTTAGACCATGAGACGACAGGCGCCCAAAATGCTTTCTTGCCCTTCACAAAATATAGTTTAGCACATCACAGACTTTGCAATTCACTCTCAGGAGGCAGATGTAGGACTTTCTGGACACACATTTATCAGTTAGCGCCACGAGTCCTCCAATAATGTCACAGTTAAGATTTTAGTGTCTGTGCTCAATCTAAAAAGAGCAGGGCGGCTTTAGAAAAATCCGGGACACAAAGGCTTGAGATTTCTGCTTTGGCCTGTTTAGGTCGACCTTTTACTTCAAACGCATGCAGTGACACAGTACAAAGTGATGGCTGGTATTCCTGCTGTCTGCACCTTTCTGTTGGGGTCGCTGTGTTTGAAACACTGAGCGAAATGGAAAAGACGAGAGGGGAAGATAAGGAGATGTAATAAACGAGTAAAAAATGATGCACACATGAGGCTACAGTCATAAGGATTAGGTTGAGGAAGTACTTTTGTCCACAATCAATACATCAGTTGCATCTCTCAAGCCACCATTGCAATTTCACATCACACCTGTATGTTTGACATGATTAACAGGCCTTCCACTGCATCAACCAGTGCAATATTTGCTATTCATCTAACAGATCAACACTGAACAAGCCCCAACAGCTACCTAATAATATGTGTGTTCGCTTTTATGTTTAACCATCAGTGTACATAAGATATTAAACCTCTCACTCTTCCAGCAGTATAGTATACTGTATACTGTATTCATTCAATAAACACCTGCCTCATTGTTTTGAATGAATTTAGACAGTGTGTGCAAATATCTGTAGCAGATCTAATATCTATATGTTACCAGATAACTTATTAGATTTAGATTGTTTCACTGTTTTTCCAAATACAAACGCATGATGATACTTTAGAAGCAACAACATACTGCACCTCTGCACCCTGAAGAAGGGCAAGCCGATACGCTTTGGTGTATTTTAATGTTTCCAGCCCAATGAATTAAAAGCCTTTTATATTTTTCCAACCACCCTGCGTGACTGGACCTGGATTATTAATGCCGATGCTTTTTGGTCTTAAGTTTTCCTCCACTTTTTTATAACAAAATATATGTCATATAAAGGCCTTAGAGTTGCTAAATAGTAACCGATCTGTTTCAATAGATGGTAATTTTTCGATTATCATTGAATTTGACACCAGGTTCAAAAAGATGATGAGTCTAAAGAGAGAAAAACACAAAGACAGAATCATGATGTGCATACATGAGTCATCTTAAGTGGACTGGGTCTTCACCTTAAAAACCCTTAGAAACCCAGATTGATGATTTCAGATAAGAGACCTCTGTAGAGCTTTAAGGATAAATAAAGAATGCAAACTCCTATGTGAATGAAGGCCATAAAAAAAAATACACAGGAATTTAAACGTCGCAACAATTACGAATTAGACAGTACATTCCTGTCATGACAAAAGGCAGACACATTGATTTGTGTAGTTAACAGCAGTTAACAATGAAAATGTGATGAAAACAACAAATCAAAGCCCTCTCAAGCAATCATTCCCCTTGTGAGGCAGACAGCGAGTGAAAAAGCAGATTATGTGATTGTGTTTGTTCAACCTTTTGGCCAGATTGTGCTGAGAGAGGTTGTGGTTGAAATGCTGTTGGTTGGAGCTAAGACTACACTCAGCACCATCTTTAAAATGCCCATATATCACTCATCCTACAATGTGTGTCATCAGTACTTAAGCCAATGTCAGGGGATTGAGAGGTAGGAATAACAAACGATAGGCAGCTTGAAGGTCCCTTTTCTACCACAGCTTATTCTAAATACAAATAAAAGAGATTGGAGGGTTACAGGCATATTATATTAAAATAAATAAAAGCAGTTATGGATCATTCTCTTTGTAATATTATTTAGAGAGACCCAACATTAACCGTCTATATGAGCAAACACTGGGCAACATTTTGAAACAGTGGCAAGAAAGAATCCTTTGACCAGGTAGCAACCTAGAGCAGAACTGAACAAATCAGTGAAAAACTGTTTGCAACCGTTGTGTGGGCGGATCAGGTGAAATAGAAAAGAGAGAGATGGTTAGAGACAGACCAACACAGCAACAGCAGTACAACAGAATATAAGGACTTATGGCTGCATCGACAATAATAATAGCAGAATAGAAATACACAAATCAAATACTGTATGGATAATATCACAATGACTAAGGGAGCGCCAGTAGCCTAGTGGTTGTTGTGGGCGCCCACATGTACAGGGGTGGAAGTACTCGAAAGCAGGTGGCCCTGCTTCTAATCCAACCATGGCTCCTTTCCTGCATTTCATTTCCCCACTCTCTCTCCACGATTTCCAAAACTATCCACCGTCCTGTCTCTCCAATAAAGGCATTAAAAAAAATCTTTTTGAAAAGGATGACTGATAATAATTGTAGCCGTTGAAGACAAACAGGTCCATAGCACTCACAAATATATAATAATGACAATGTATTACATTCTACTGTAATGAACTCCGCATAATCATATAAAATAAGGGTTTGGTTTTTATGTTTTGAATTGTACATGATAAACAATTGAAACCACAGAATGAAGTTTTATGTTCCCCAATAACTTTTTTTTAACTATCCAGCATCATTTTAAAATGGATAAGATGACATGCTGATTAATCTTCAAGAGAAAATCAGAGAACCATTCTATAATATAAGGATAAGAAATCGCAATTTTAACAAAGGTTCCCCTCCTGTGTGTTGCTCTTGGGACTTTTTTGAAAGAGTTGTTCAGTGTCGCATCAGAGTTCAGGAAGAAAGGGAGCATCTGAAGGACGGACTGGAGATCTAGACGCTTTGTTGTATAGATTGTATTGTACTGCCAATTCCGGGAGTAACTGTTAAAGTCTGATAGTGTTAAAAAAAAGTGGAAAAACAGCCAGCCTGTGCTCTTACAAATTCAACCTTTAAAAGAAAACTCAGAGCCTGCGCCAAAGCAATTTCACGCCACACCAGTGGAGACACATGAGCACCCTCCCATTAAGCCCGCACCAACATGTCATTACTGTGCAGGGTTTGGATGCAAATTATGATTGA